TAATTATCTTATCCCAATGCTTTAATATAATTCATAAGTTTTCGTGAAATTGGGTTTAATTGCCAAAAATTCGTGTCACGGAAGAAAATTGAACACGCGCCCAACTTTCACACAAGAGCATATGTTATATGATTGATTTCTACATTTGGGACCAAGCATTTATTTATACACAAATTTATACATATGTATGCAATTTGTAGCCTGGCACAAACTTGTGGCTAGCTGAGCCGAACGTTTTGTTTATAGCCTCTAATCTCGGTTTATAGCTCTCCCGAAGTAATAGCACGCTAAATGGCATAACATGTTCCGTCATTAATAATTCCAGACGGAATTGGGAATCTGACGCCGACGCCCGTACCACGTCCCCAAAACTACTGATAATTGCAAGGGAACAAAATCCAATTCGACTATTATGTGGGTCGTGGGCCCGAGGCCTCGCTTTCATTTCGGCTGGGAAGGCCCGATCTCATCCCTTTGGATGCAAGAGCAGAGCGTAGAGTTCTCTTCATCTCGTTGATTTCCTCATCGGGCGGATGATTCATCCAATTGTGTCGAGGATCATACGAGACGCATTTAACATAATTTTTCCCACTTCTGTTATATATGTACATACATATGTATGTGTGCATGTATGCTTGTGGAAATTTATTTGTGTGTAAATATTTTGTGTTTTTTTTGCGTCGTTATTTGTCGTTAATGATGAGGCTTTTTCAGCTGGGGATCATGACGTCATTGTTGATAGAAATACGATTTCTCAGAATTAAAAACAAAACAAATAAGGCAAATTTCACAGTTATGGGGATTTTTTATGCGCTGCACATACCTAGGATCTCTTAATGGAAGTAGGAAGACAAGAATCTCTTTAATTAAATTGTGTCATAGTTTTAGGGTCTAGATAATAGTTATCTTATTGTTTATGTATATGAGCAAAACGGTATTTGTTTATTTTTTTGTGAATACACTTTATATTAAGTATAATGGAACCTCTGCTTGGAATTGAGAACAACGCAATCAGCGCGTTTATTGCCCCCAAGATTGAAGGTCGTTTCCTGGGCACTTATTAAACAGAATTTGCCTCAAAACAATGTTACACATTTAAATTCAATTGGCGCTTCAAATTGAAACGTATTGGCAACAATTACGTTCATATTCGTATGTATGTACATATGTATGTACATTCGTATATATTCTATGGAAACGAACACGAGGTCTCTATGTGTTTGTGGACGTGGACTGCGTTGTTGTTATGCCAGTTTGTCGATTGTGCCAGCGATGGGCGGCGTCACGCCCATTGGTCACCATGCTGATCATTTATCTGTGCTCAATTTATATGTATTGTTTAAACAACTTGGATTGTTGTTCTACATAACTGTTGAAAAAATAAACAGCAATTTAACAGACTTACAGTTAATAGCGACAAAATGTATAGTTCAACGTCGTTTACTATTACCACATATTGGACATATTTTCGTTTTTATTGTTACTGAAAATGTAACTTTTAAGCCTGGCTTTGATTTTCGATTATTTTCTCATTCGGCCTTCGGCAATCGATAATAGTTTTGCGTTTACAGCTGTCACTTAAATATTTATTAGGTACACACTGCTTTTTACGTGTCCGCCTTGTAATTTGAGCGAATCGGTAACCGGCCATAATTTATGTAGTAATAAATTAAACTTGTGAGACACAAAACAGCTGTGCTGTGGACTCATGTCAAATACGAGGGCGCACATTTATGAATTATTTAACCAGTCGAGAATTAGAGACAAGTTCGAAACTTTCACATCGTTTTTCAGAAAGTTGACCTTGGTCCAAAGCATTGGCAATGAGAAATGTTTTTATTATGCTTTATTCAATTGTTTCCGGCATATTGCGTTTCGGTTGAGATGAAGAGCGAAAGCGTTACGCTTCAATCACTTGTTGCTAATTGCTGATAAAAAATCTGTTTGCTATATTGTTGCCCTACTCACATATACATTTATAAATTGTTTACACACTTTATGACGTGTTCATTGGCAGCACTTTTGCTACGCAGTCAGTACAGAGAGCATCGCAAACCATTCGGAGCGCGTCAAAATAATGAAAAGCAGATAAGCTGACCAGCTGTCTACCCTACCGATGCACGCAGTACAAGATAACCGCATTTATGGCCAAACGTAGATACAGTATTTGTCTTCCCGTTTCTGAGTTGTCATACAAATTCCGAGAATGTTCATTAAATGCTGCTTACAGAGGAGGCATCAAGGCGTCGGGGGGTTTAACACTGTTGAGACAGGTCATTAGTGATAGCTGTGTTTCAGGTTAAATGCAGGTAGCGCGATTGTTGGACAAAGACGCAGACATGGCGACGACAATGAGTCGGCACTGCCTTTTGTCTACATTGTAAGTCAAATTAAATAAAAAAAAGTGCGTGGGAGAGAAAAGGAAATGCGCACTGCATGCAGCTTTTATCGATAACAGCGCAGTCAATTAACAACAAAAAACAGCAACGCCTGTCAAACACAATTATGTTTACATACAGTTGTTGAACAGTGCAATGGCCCCAGACCAGCTGCCCATATGCAGAACAATAAACAAAGCAGAAACCGAAGAAGAACAAGAACAAAAGATGTGACTTACTAAAAGAGGAGAAATGCAGTCAATGCGCCCTGAGATTAATGATTTATACTTCTTCTATCTGCCTCTCTCACTCAGGCCACCACTGCAAGCGTAACGGTTATGTGATCAATTGTTATCGATAACATATTTTGATTTCTTAAATCCGTTATCTTTGTGCGTAAACAACATCATATAACTAATACTCAAATTTATTACTTCAATGGTTTAAAGAAAATCATATTTTCAATCTGAACAAAGCAGCAAACAATGTGTATTTACCGGGTTCCAGATGTTTGCATAAGCAATGCTCGGCCGGCCTGACCGCGCCCCAAGTAAATATTAATCACTAGTAGCAAAAATATATTAGAGTGTGGCCTACATGTTAATGACTTTTGTACGTGCCAATGCGTCATAGTTGTATTGTTTATTAACAAATAACTGAGATATAGTCTGGGCGGCAATAATATATACGTCGTTGTATGTTGCATAGGGCGAAAACAACTCCACAAAATCTTAATAAACAGTCAACTCTTCCGGAATTTCGTCTGAATGTCTCATTTTCATCTCCTATTCTGTCTGCTGCGACTGACACTAACAACCAATTGGGTTGGAAGGCATAGGGTCAGATGGCAACATTGACCCAATTTACTCACTACTCACTTTAAGGCGCACGAAATAAGAGCAAACAAGTATTGAGATACGTATGTATGTATTTCTGTACGTGAATATATACACATACATACATACGTAGCAGGCGAGTAAAAAGAACACCAGCAAAAGAAACAACAAAGGCAAAACGGCCCCCACTAACACACTGACATTTATGCTGTTTATGCCAATGACGACGCGTCGACGTCAACGACAACACCAACGCGAACGCTACTGTTGCGCGCGTGTCGGGGCCTGCGTGCTTGAGACATGCAGTAACAGAGTAGTAAGAGCAGCGGCAGAAAAACGGTATGAGTGGTGGCGGTGGCTGGCTGACATTGACAATAACAACAACAGCATCAAGGAGGGTATGACTATCATACTATTTTCTTTGCATTATTAACACGGTATCGGTACCGTTGTTATCACGTCGTTTGACGCCCACAAAGTCAAAAACAGTGCAAAGCAAATGCAGCAAAAACAACAGCGCAAATTCAAAGCAAATCACAAAACAGTTCAAAAGCTTTTGTCATACTCTTGTGAGTTTGCTTTTTGTTCTGCTTCTTAATATATTTGTTGTTGTAGTTCATCGCCCTTGAATCGCTGGCTGCTGCTGCCAAAAGGGGCCGGGGCCTGTGTAAGGGGTTGGGGCTCAGGCAAGGTAATGTTTTTTTTTTTTATTTGCAGCTGCTGCTGCTGCCTGTCATCACAGGTTATTGTGCTTGTTGTTGGTTTTGTATGTGTGTATGCGTCAGCTGTTCGTCTTACATTTCAATCTCTGCTTTAACTTACCTTAAATTTAATTGTTTATCTATATAAATTCGTCCTGAGCAGGCGGGTCACATACAAAAACACACTTGCTCATACACCTTCACATACATACACACACACTAACGCACGTTTTTTGCACGTTTTATAATGAATAAGTTGTTTGTGTTTGTTATTGGATTTTGGCTGTTACATGACATCGGGTCAGTTTTGTTGCGATTTTTGAAATTAATTAATTTATGTAAATTAACTACACTATGTACACAATTATAGACGTATTTTGTTTGAAATATATACAAAAACAAAACGCGAAAAACGAAAGGTTCCCGTCGTCGTTCACGCGCACACCACCCACACGACGTGCCACACTCTCGGACGTGGAAAAACAAATGAACGCACGTCCGCTCGCGTTTCTTAGCAGAGCGCAGTTCCGTTAGTGAACGAACTAGTTACCCGGAACCGCTGCTAAATAGCGAAATGTTGAACGAAACGGAGCTTGCTTTCAATTTGTTAAATAAAAATAAAATTTAAAATCTATTTATATACGCCATTTAAATTGTTAGCAGTCTGTTTTCGATGATGAGGATTCCTATTAAAAAATTGCAACTAACAAAGTGCGCTTTAATAGTATCTTAAAAATATTATAGTTATTTAAAAAAAAAGGTTTTGTTCTACCATCTACCATGATTATTAAAATATTCGAATTTTTTGAGTGCGATAAAAGTATTTTAAAATCGTCAACTTTCAAATGAGTTTTTAAATTGTTAGCATAGGATTACGAATAATTCACAATATTGGAATATAAAATTCTCTTAATTTTAAAAATCTTTTAACGCCTAACACTGTTAATGTTAATGTTAACGTCACAGTCGAATTAACTGTACTGAAATTCGCTCGTCACGATGTTGTGATCAGATGAACTGTGAACCAAACATTTATCGAGCATCGATAGGCAACAAGCAGATTTTTGGCGCCAACTTGGCTTATATTTGTATTATATTTGACTGAACATTTATTGATAGTAAAATGACGACGCAAGACAATTACAAATACAATTATTGTTGAATTGCAAGTACATGTCACAATTAGTATACACGTGTCTGTTTTTTTGAATGTGCATTAGTAAGTACATATGTATTAGTATCACTTTGATTTTAAACTCAATTCAAACTCCGCTTAACCCATGGTTGCCAAATGCTTATTAGTACCGACGGCGCCGGCGGGCCCATCATTTGCCACACAAGTCGGTATAGCGCTCGACCATTTTCCATTCTTCATGCACTTGAGAACCTTTGAGCCGCGCAGCTCGAGGCCTGCATCGCAGGTAAAGGTAATGCTCTCGCCAATGGCATAGTAGAACTTGACCGAGGACATGCGACCACTGATGGCGGTGCCCGGATACGAGCAGGCCTGCACACATTTGGGCAAACCGCCCGACCAGCGTCCGTTATCCTGACAGGCAATTATTGGCTGACCTTGCATCATGTATTCCGGGTTGCAATTGAATTGGACCACATCGCCGGCACGATATGGTGCCGAGCCCTGGGCGTAACCGTTTTGCGGCGCACCAGGATTATCGCATTGCACTTCGACACAGGTTGGAAACGGTGTCGCCCATTCGCCCGTAGGCAAACAGATGGCCTCAGATGGGCCGCGCAATCCGTAACCCGTGGCGCAGGAGAATGCCGCCCGTCCGCCCACCTCACGCGACAGCACGGAAACGCGCGGTGAGCTAACATTATTCGGCATCAGCGGTATATCGCCGCACTCCACGCTCTCGCAAACCGGCAACAGCGCGCTCCAATTGCCACTGGGTAAACAAAACAGCTCCGATGCGCCAATCAACGAGTTGCCATTGGAACAGGACAACAGCACGCGTGTGCTCAATTTCGTATCGTTCGTATTGACTATCAAACCGCGCCGTATGGGTATCTCTGGGCAATTAATTTCCTTGACGACCACCTCAACGGCGTGCTCATGTCGGGCGGGTGTCATGCAGGCGTAGGTGCCAGAGTCCTCGGCCACCGCATCGAATATGCTCAGGCGATATTCCAGCGTTGAATCTCGTCCCTCATCCGCCTCCGTCACCCAGCCCTCCGTATAGTTTCTGGAATATCGTGATACAATGTGATATTAAATGTCAGTCGGTTTGTGTTGGCGAAAATCCAGCTGATACCCACTTGTAGACATGACTGACATTCCACTTGGGATTACCAAAGCGGCGCATCCACAGGCATTCCATGTGTAGCGTGGTGCCCGGATAGACAATGAGCTTGCCATCGTTGCTCTGGGCGATGGGTCCGTTCTGATGGCGAAACAGTATGGTGGGCGCCTTCTCCACTGTGGTCGGATTGGTTTTAAGACCAGGAACAAATTTTCTGAAATATTCTACGTACTGGCATAATCATTTTCCTGATTGAGGCCCGAGCACACGGGCTTCGTGTTGGTCCACTCCGAGTGTATGCAGGTCCGGTCGTGGCTGCCCGTCATCGAGAACTTGCCAATATCCACGCATCTAAAAAATGGATTGCATAGAGTTAGCGACGTCCAGCTTGGTCAATTGGACGTACCTGGATATAATAGTAGCACCTGGGGGAAACTCGACGACGTCCTCTCTAATTTCCAGATCATTGTAAAAGCTGACCACATTCGCTTCGTTGTTCTTAAACAAGCACGTGCCGTTCTCTGTTTAATGGATACTTTAAATTTCAAGGCTCATGGATCAAAGGTGAACGGAACGTACCGCAGTTGTAGGAGCGTCCCACCCACTGCCCGTTGTCGCATATGATGCGCCAGGTCTGACGATCGCCGGCAGCATTGGGTATGCAATTGAAGTAGATCTCTGTGCCGCTCTCGTAGGCGGGATCAATCTCCGCATGGTCGGCGTTTCTGGAGAGAAAGTGGTTACTTGCGTCTCGACCGGAGCCGGAGCCGGAGCCGTTGCGACTTACTTGTAGACGAGGGCGCCGTCCGTCAAGCTGGGATGGCCGCACATTTTCAGCTCATCTCCGTGGTCATCGGTGTTGTTATCGTGCAGATGTTGCAGCTCATCCAGCTCGTGCTCGATTTTAGTGTGCGTTGTGGAAGTGGGCGTGGCATGTTCGAGCTCCTCACGTGATTTGCGTAGGCCCGACTCGCAGGGTATACTGGGCGGCGTGAGGACGCCCTTCAGACAAGACATCTCGATGGGATTGGCATTGGTGGACAGTTCACAGCGAACGCTGACCGTGCTGCCGTGGCCAATGGTGAGGCCAGCGCGATAGCCGCCCTGTGCAGAAATGTGTTTAAAGCAAACGTGGCATCTGAATTGGAAGGTGGCTAACTTGCCTCGTAGATGACGCCGGGTATGTTGGGCAGCGTGCACGGCAGGGAGGTGCATTCCGAGAAGGCGTTGACAGACCAGGAGCCATGGGCGCAACGCAACTGGGCGGATCCCTGAAAGTCAGCGATGGCATAAGGATAGCTAGCTGAATGAATCAAAGACAAACCTGAATGTTGAATCCCTCCTCGCATTCGAGAGTTATAAACTCATTGGACTGGATCTCCTCGTAGGTGGAGAGTAGCGTCAGGGAGGGCGTATCGCTCAGCTCCTTGGTGTGCGGCTCCACTTTGTAGTACTTGCCGTGCTCCACGGCCGGCACCAGGCACGGGGCCGACATGCACTTGGGCGTATCCGGCTTCCAGATGCCGCGGATGCAACGCGCCGTCGCATTCTCGCCTTTGATGTTCAGCTTGAAGCCCGCATTGCATTCCAGATGCAGCATAATCCCTACCGAGTTTCTGCCCGGCGCCTTACCCGGCCGCACCGTGGTTATATTGGCAAACGAATCCCAGTCGAGATCCTCGCAAGGACCACGCAGCCGCTTGCCGCCGGCAGCCCTGCTCGCCTCGCCGCCATCACTCGTATCCAGGTCGGCGTCGGGCAGCGTGGCGGATGAGGACGCCGTGGAGCTGCTGCGCTTGCGGCGACGACGCACAATCTGAGATTTAAGCTGTTCGATTAGGGCGCGTGTCGTATTCCTGGACAACTGGCGTCCGGCTGCGGGCGCGGGTGCCTCATTGGAGCTGTGCGACGAGCGGTAACGCGAGCTCTGATTTATGTTGGGCAAGGTGAGGACACCGCCACGATACTCGTTCAAGTCGCCGTAGTCATCGCCGTCGGCTGCATTGCGCCACTTGTGGGTGGCCTTGCGCATCATGACCAGCTCCGGATTGTTGTACTGGTTATACCAGCGTCCGTCCTGAACGTGCACCGGCTTGTACAGGCGATTGTGGCCCAGAATCTTGCGCACATAGCGCAGGTAGCGCTCCTTGATCTTCTGATAGTACTTCGAGTAGGCCACATCAATGTCCGACGGATTCGGATTGGGATTGGGATAGGCGCTGCGCTTAACGCGCTCACCCGACGTCCCAGCTGCAGGAAAATATCCGTTGATGGAATTCATATGAGAGCAGCTCCGAACTCACCCGCCCGTGCGATTTCCTTGTGCTCGTCCAGTTGGCGTTGGAGCTGGCGCTGACGCCGCAGCAGATAGACGGAGCGTAGCTGGCGCAGCTGCAAGGAGCGCCGGCGGCGACGATTCCAGCGCAAACGCGGATGCTGGCCAAGTAGACACTGCGGCAGATCTAACGGACGCCATTTGCCGCCGACACAGGTGGCGCCGGGCGGTCCCACCTGGAAAAAGTGGACATGAAACCGAAATTGGGAATTGAAAGGAATGCGAGTTAGGTTACCTCCAGGACGTAGCCCTTGTCGCAGTCGTACATGATCTGCTTGTTGTTGACAATCTTCTTGACATACGGACGATAGTCGTAGAGTCCCATATTGCCGACGAGCAGCACCTTGCCATTGGGTATGTAGCCCGGAAACGAGCAGAAGACCTCATCGCATTTGGGCGTCTCGCCGGTCCAGTTGCCGAAGGAGCACGTTAGCACATAGTCGTGCGGATCGGTGATGTCCCTGCCCTCGGGACTGACCAGCTTGAAGCCATCCTTGCACTTGAACCTCGCCTTCATGCCGTGCTCCGTCTTCGGAGCCATCACCATGCCATGCTTCGGCGGCTTGGGCATGCTCTTGCAGCGTGCCGGCACACAACGTGGTATGATGCTCCAGGTGCCATTGTTGCAGGTTGGCGGACTCAGCAGCGATACGGGAAACTCATAGTTCTCATCGCACTTGACCTCCAGCGCTGTGCCGTGCCTGACCTTCTCCACGCCGCCCACAATCTGGGTGGGCGATTGCGTTGTGGTCGTCGTGGCGGCGACTATCGTAGTCCCATTCTCATCGGTTGTTATCTCAATGGGTATGACGAAGCCCTGCGATATGGTGGGCACCACACAAGGCGCCAGGCACTCGGGCAAGGCGTTGCGCCAGCGTCCATCGATCTGACAGACACTCGAGCCCAATCCGTTGATCAGCATTTCCGGCTGGCAGCGAAAGATGATGCTGGCGCCCAGGCCGGTGCCCGCCTCGATATTCTCGATCCAGCCATTGTACAGCACACCCGGATGTCCGCAGTTGATCTCTGCAAGAATTTGTATAGCACACATGTCCCTATACAAGCGCTCCAATTACGTACCCTTGCAGCTGGGCACGGTACCACTCCACTTGGCGCTGGCTCCACAGCGGCTGGAGCTCTCGCCCACCAAGGTGTAGCCATAGCGGCACTCGTAGCTGACAACCGAGTTGTAGGCCAACGTTGTGTACGTGGCCTTGCCGTTTTTGGGATTCTCCGGAGTGGGACAGACCACAGAAGTGACCACTGCGAAGATTAGAGGATGAGGGCTAATTAAAAGCGGAGCTGGGCATAGCTGGCATTAAAAGCTATCACAAATCTTAGAGAACCGCTCGCAGGAAACCGCCAAATCAAATAAAACAACTTCGGGTTTGGTTCAAGTTTTTCTTAAGATTTGTGGTAACTTTTATTAATTCCAACAACAACTTTTTTTTGCATAAAATTTGAACAATTCTTTTTTTAACGCTATTATTGAATGAAGAACGATAAATATTAACAATTTTGGCTAGGAGCAACGAAAAGCTTTAGCTCGGAACAAATTGCCAAAACTAACTTTGGGCCTGGTTAAGACAACGTTGCTTGGGTCGTGGTTAGATTTACGTAAATGTTATCCGCTTTGGTGGGTTGGTAAATTATAAAGACATAAGAAAAATAATGGCTTATAAATTCGAAATAATACTCACAGACACAGGTCGGCAGCTCCTTGGGCGTCCACGAGCCATCCGACTGACAGTAGCGCTCGTGCTTGCCCACCAGCTCGTAGCCCGTGCCGCAGTTATAGGTTATCTTGCAGCCGTACGTATAGCATTCCCCGGCGTGCCAGCCATAGGCCGGATCTGGCGGTTGACCACAGGAACGAGCTGAAATCAGGCAAGTAAAGCGGGTTGAATTCAAATCATTTAACATTTTATAGAGTTTATATACAATCTGGACATCTACAGATTAATAAGGCTCTAAATTGGAGAGGATTCAGACTATGGACACAGAAGCTATAAGCAGGATGAAATTGCTCCAGCTGAAGGATCAGACTTTCAACTTTATAGTAAGGAAATGATTGCATTTTTTTTTCAGATAAGGGAAATGAACTATAAATGTCATTATTCAGTGAGAGGCACAATAATATAATATAAATTAATATAAATGAATAAATAAATAAATAAATAATAATAATAATTTATAATATATATATAATAGCATCTCTACTGTTCTTAATGCAATCTCATGTTGGTTTTTGTTACAGAAGAATTTTAAAAATATATTTAAATTTATAAATGTCATTATTCAGTGAGAGGCAAAAAAATATAATTACTGATATATTACTGAATTTAATTACTGATAATATATAATATATATAATAATATATAATATATTTAATAATATATATAATATATATATAATTTGTGCTGTTCTTAAGGCAAACTCATGTTTGTTTTTTTTTTTTACAGAGGAGTTTTAAAAATAAATTTAAAATTCGTCATGTCAAAAATTAAATAAAAATTGCACTTATCATATTAATTTTTATTTTAATAATTCCTTAGAGCACACTTGGAGCACTTACGTTCGCACTGAATGTCCGGTCCGTACCAGCTGGCCAGATTGTCGATGGCCAGGCACTTGGCACGTGGAAACCCGTTGGTCACATAGCCCGTATAGCAATGGTATTGAACCGTTGAGTCCAGGTCGAAGGTCTCCTGCTCCGGCAGCGCCGAGTTGCGTGCGTGCTCAATCTGCGGCGGCTTTAGGCAGTAGACTGGAGTGGAGTAGATGCCAATTGAGGACAACAATAAGGATTAGCTCGTTGAGTGGTGATGGGAGTGCTTGGCTGCGCTTACTGTTTTGCTTGCAGGCTGGCTCGGCGCCGGCCCAGTTGCCGTCGGCCTGGCAGAGGCGGCTCTGCAGGCCCACCACGTGGTAGCCATGTGGACAGGAATAGGAAGCGCGAGCACCGAAGTGACGACCCGCCACGGTAACCTGTCCCAGACTGGGTTGCGCTAGCTCCGGACATTCACGATCTATGGCATGTAAACAAAATATTAGTCAGAAAATGTGTTTATCTTTGAATATTTTCAGGACTCACCCGGCTTGATGCAGGAATTGCCGCAGACGCCATCGCATAGGCATTTCTTTTTCTTGCTCTTGCAATCCTCATCCGAGGAGCACTTGCGCAAACATTTCTGGCCCAGCAGCGTGGCCTGCTCCTCATCCCGCGGACACTCCGTCGAGGGCGAATTGCGCGGATTCTTATAGACGCGCCCATCATCATCGGACTCCAGCGAATCATCGCCCTCGTCCCAGTCGTCATCGTCATCATCCTGCTGCGGTATCTCCGTGGTGGTCTGTCCGCTCACCACTGTCGTCTGGCCGGTGGGCACCGAAATGACTGCAAAGAGCGTACAATAAACATTCTGGACTCTAAACAGATGTCACTGAACGCAGCCCCATTGTTTGCCCCTTTGTTTTGATTCTCGTTTCTTTTCTCTCTGTTTTGCTCGGCTGCCTCTCCCAGCCAAAGGCTGAGCTGCCCTCGACAACATTGACCCATTTAGGTGGATGTCAGTCAGTCAGTCAGTTGGTCGGCCCGTCCAGGCAGCATTAGGAGCCTGCGCATTGGCCACCTGCTTATATAACCAGCAGCATATACATTTTTCAGTTTTGCCCGTCAGCTACCTTTTAGCTTATTATTATTAACCGTTTAAAAATCGATTCAAGTATTTAACGATATTGTTGCAACTAATTGCATCTGTAAGAGATTAGTTTTCACCTTTGTAGACCAGAATCGTGGTCACCAGACATTGTAGCAGCAGACGATTCATTTTGAAAACCGTATTTTAACTCGTTTCTGTGTGTTTTTCTCAATGCGGTTTACATCTGTCAAATTTAATATACTCTATTAATAAGTTATAACAATTTAATGCGATTTATGAGCGGAGTTTACAAAACTGCAGTCTGCACACTTTGGCGAAACAACGCGAAATGCAGCTCAGCTGCTGGAATTTTGGACATTTTGCTCTCAGCCTGTGGCACGAGGCGAGAGCAGCATCCGTTTTGACGGGCATAGGATGCGTTCGGATATGTTGATGGTTTGAAACCTTGCTAAGCACTCCGAAATCTACGAATGCCAATGTCTAATTAGAATAGAATATTAACAAATGGTGCATTCTCTTTGGCGTCTTTTATCCAAACGTATCTAATTGAAGACCTTCTATTATTTGTGCTTGAGGTTTTGTTTACTTATAGCTCACATTTTATATTCCACCATCTTCAACGGTCAGATTCGAATAATTGTTTGCTACCCTTTTCCAGTTGCTGCTACACTTTTCCTCACTAATTGCAGCCCTCGCTAAGAACTTGGGAGAGCGTGAGAGCTTTCGCTTGAAAAGCTTTCGCCACACGTTTCTTCGTCGAGAAATTTTCCAACGCTCACAGGCAGAACGACGCACGGCACGGAGCATAACGCACAAAACGGGAAAATTACTATCTAAAGCGCGAAAGCGAAAGAAGTGGGAAAAAAAGGCGCAGAGCAAAAAAAAAAAACAATATTTTTTTTTTTTTGGTCGAAAATGTCTTAGTGTAAATGTGCGGCGAACGTTTTTATTAAGCAATTAATTGAGAGTGCTGTGTTATAAAAAAGTGAAACAAAAACAAATAACGGCAAGTGCAAGTGCAGTGGGTGGAAATGTTTTAAATTTGTTCGCTTTGGGTTCGGGTTAGGGTTCGGGTTTGGGCTTCGGGTTTTGGTTTCGGTTTCTGGTACGGCGGGGAGTGAGGGGCGCGTGCGGAAAGCGCGTAAAGAAAAGTAAGTGCCAGAATTTGTGTATTAAAATAAATCAAAAAACCAACTAAGCGATGCATACACACAAGCACACCCCCACCCCCTCTCTCACACACACATGAGCACACAAAAGCGCACACATATGCGAGCAGTGTAAGTGACATATGCGCAAAAAATATCATTATTATTATTAAAGGAATGCTTGGACAAATTAATTGCTATTGAGAAATTTAAAAAAGTGCGACTAATGCGCGACAAAATGTCGAAGCCAAAAGGCAAATAAAAAACAAAATGTTCTAAATACATATGTGCCCATGTATGTATGTCGGTTCATACATATTTACTGCTGTGTGTATTTGAAACAAGTTTATTTATAGAGCAACTGAATAAAAAAGGTGGCACGATTGAAAATATTTTGATATCCAATAAATATTTAACCAAAAATATTTATATTGCTGCCAAGCAGCGCAGTAGACATTGAATCCGCAAGGGGTCAGCCGTTTGCGCGTCAACAATTTTCAAGCGTGTACACAAAAATCCAGACCAAAAAGCGAGACCTGCAACGAGACCAAGACCAGACCAGACCAGGCCAGGCCAGACCATCAGAGCAACGAACCAGCCAGCCAACCCACCCACCCACCAAGGCGGCCACTTGATTAACGCCAATGCCAATTTGAGCGCAGAAAATCTCTATAAAAGTTAAGCAGAGAGCATGCGTTCGGTGAGCTTTCTCTCTTTGCTACTCTCTTTCGCCCTCTTGCGCTCTTGGTCTCTCTTCGCACAGGACGCAAAGTACACTCTTTTTTTTTTTTTGTTTTTGTCATTGACCTGTTGTGGTAGTGAAAGACTCAAAATATTTGATAAATATATGCGAATTGCGCTGAAACAAAAGGAAATCTTTAACGTATTCAACGTACGACAATTTGATATACAAATTATTCTGAATTTTCCGCTGATATAAACAGAAACGGCCGCCTGTGCGTAATTGCTTTCCCACTCCAATGTTTTACCAGTGTGTACCTGGCGTAAAATTAAAGCCTAGGCTTTAATGTAAATCGATATGGGGACACTCCAGGAACCCTAGCTACTTTGCATATAAATAACAAATGCTTATAATTAGTAAACAAAAAAGCGGAGCTAAGAGTTTTTGTAAATCGAATCTTGAGAATCTTAGACCCGTGTTTGAAATAAACTCAAAAATGCATGTGCAGTTAACATATTTACTTGGCAACAATTTGTTATTTATTTATGTTTGTTATATTTTTGTCCAGTTGTTTAATTTGACTACCGCTTCATATTAATTGCAGGACATAAATAGTTAATTTTAACTTAATAAAGGTTAAAAGAAGAGCGCAACCCTTTCACTAACCATGGGCAACGTGTGCAGCTCCGGGCAAAAGAAGAAGAAGGACAAGGACAGCTCATCCGAGAAATCAGATGAGTAGGTTTATTGCGCAATTAATTCCCAAAGTATCCTTATGACCAATGTATAAATGTTGATTGTTCTTCAGCTCGCCCCCGTACGAGGAAGCCGGCGCGGATAAAAAGGACGCGCTGCTAAGTCACGATGCGAACGACATCAATGTGAGGAGAGCGCCGCTGGCCGATGTGGAGGCCCTGCCGGAGGCGACGCAGATCAATGACACATATGGCAATCAGCAGCAGCAGCACCCACATCCGTTGCCTCAGCCGAAGCCCATTGCATCAGAGAAGGGTGAGCTCTTGACTAGCAGCAAATAGTATTTGTGTTCCATTCGACATGACCTTCTCCAAAAATTGCAGACTCCAACATCACCACACCGCAGGGGGCGCAGGCGCCTAGCGATGTGGCCAATGTTAGTCCGGGCATGAGCAATCTGAGCATGCTGCAGGGCAAGCCGCCGCCCGGCCGCAAAATCGAGCGCGACAAGAAGATTGTCATCTATATACTGGCCGACAACAGCACCGAGTACAAGAAGCACAAGCGTGTCATCTACAGCCTGTACAAACATTTTAAAAGCAAGTGCCAAAGTAAGGGATTCGACTTTATTATTGCCGATGTGCACGACAGCGAGTCGACGGCAAAGGATGCGGCAGCGACGGGGGCGTCGCTGGAGCAGGCGAATGGCAATCCCAAGAAGGACTTTTCAAGGCTGCTGGAGGTTAAGCGCTGGACGCAAACGCCGCTGGAGGCACAGGGCGGCCACGAGGAAGCAGCCAATTGCCTGTGCGAGATAACCCGCCATGCGACAGGAGCCTACATCATACCCGTGCTCTTCCTGGGCTCCACACTGGGCACACCCATGCTGCCGCTCACAATCGAGAGCCAGGACTTTACCTCGGTGCTGAGTGCCGCCAGCGATTCGGAGAAACTGCTGCTGGAAAAGTGGTATACCATTGACAACTCGTATCAGCCAATGTGCCATCGGCTGTACACGCAGCAGATCGATCCCTACTCCACGCAGGTCAATGCTGAGCTGAACGAGCTGCTCGCCGTGCTGCTGCGTCTCTTTTCGGACGACGTCAAGGATTCGTATCTCACGACTGTCGTCGAGCAGGAGATCAACAACACGGTGCTGATGAGTCAGGAGTTGGCGAAACGCTGCATTTGGATACAGACAGGTGCCCACTACTCACGCGCCCCGGAGAACGCCACCCAGCTGGAGCTCGAGGTGCTGCGGCGCATAACACGCATCTATGCGGAGCTCAAGAGTCAGCTGTGCGAGAAGAATCTCATTCGGCTGTTGCCCACCATGACCATCCTCGACGACGAACTGTCTGCGGTAATTGAAAACCTGCTGGACAAATCGCTGGCGAGCATCTTTGAGGAGCATCAGCAAAAGAGCATACCCCACAACACGCTGGGCGTGGACCGCGTGCTGCTCGACGAGATTCAGCTGATTGGCCACTACTCGAAGCTGCTCGCCCAGAACTCGGCCAATTTCGACATCATGAATGATGTTAAGCGTTACATACGCGATGGAACCGCACAGCCGCTGGTCATTTCGGGCGCCCGAGGGAGCGGCAAAAGTGTGCTCGTGTCCAAGATTATGGAGAATGTGCATCGTTGGAAGCCGGAGGCACAGCTGGTACTGAGGTGAGTCGAATGCGATTTGCGGTTCAATCTACATCTAAATCTAAAGAAAGGCAAACCCAATGCGATGTCCACCAAGAGATGACTTATTGGTTTACCGTCTCAGAGAGCATTACAATTTTTTCAACAAGTATGCAAATAAATATCCTAAATAGATATTTAAAGAAGATCTTGAAATTGACCCGCCCGCTGAATGGATCCTCCGATCGGAGGAAGATAGAACCCTTGATCGCATTTCCCACTCAGAGTGAATCTTCTCATTAATATCAGCTCAACTTTCTTAGAATGTCCCCAGACTAAAAGAGTATAAAATTGTCAGCGTCCCGTTAAAGACAGCTCCCTGATATGCATTCCTAATCCTAATCCTTACTAAATGATGATGTTTTTCTGCCTTAGATATGCGAATTTGAGCGCACGCTCCTCGGACATCAGCTCGCTGTTCGGGTCCATAGCCAATCAGATGTCGGTGCTCGAGACGGGCCAACAGTGTCAGGTGCCACATGTAAGTATGCCGGAGATCAGCAAAAAGCCCAAAGTTCCAATTTGTACACTCCATCCACAGACACTGGAAGCCTATGCAGGAGTCATAAGGGAGATTTTGGGACGACAGCAGCGGTTTTTTGTGCTGATCATTGATGGTCTGGATGAACTGGAGTGCGATGTGGCACTGGATTGGCTGCCAATGCAGCTGGGCAGCTGCGGCAAGCTGATATTGACTGTCAGCGAGAGGGAGGACGAAGATACCAGCGGTGATTCGTTTGATATGCTCGCCGCGCTGGCGCAGCTGGGCATTCCACAGCGCTGTTTTCTTCGTCTGCGCCAGTTCACGGAGCGCCAGTGGCACGATATACTCAGCTCCGGCGGCGGCGACTTCTACGCGGCGAACGGGGCACTCAAACTGCCCGACGATTGGAAATCGCTCCACGGCAAGACGCCATACCATGCGAAGTCGCTCTGGTGGCTGGCCTGGCTGGGCCATGTGTCGCAGCCAATTAGCGAAATCGGCGACATATCCAGCAAGATCCTGCAGGTGCTGGAGAGCAAGTTTGCCGCAGACCAGGTGGAACTGTTGCTACTGATCGTGCGTCTGTCGCCTTGGGGCATACGAGAGAGCGATTGCTTGGGCGTTTTTCAAAAGATCACACAGCTGGAGGCGCAGGTCGTCTTCAAAATATGGTCCAAGTTCTGTTGGCTGATGGGACCAATGCTTTTAGGTCTTAAGAATATAAGAATAGCGGACAGGAGCTTCGGGCGCGCCGTCCTGGCGAGGTATGCCCAGAAGCAGTGGCTGGTACATGAAGCGCTACGGGACTACTTCGACCGTCAGGACAGCGAGTTCAAGGCCAGCGCGGGCGTGCGAACGTAAGACAACACTCCTCCAAATTGATGGCCACTTTAAATTCAATCTGTTCAATTTTCAGCTACAACTATCAGAAGTACTTAAAACTGCCTTATCATCACTTCTGTGCGGTAATCGAGGATAAGCCGGCGCCGCACAAAATCGATATACTCTACAATTGCTTCTACTTTACGGACCTGCAGTGGATAGCCAATAAGGTGCATGCAACGGGTCCGGCGCATCTAATGCATGACATTCTGCATGCCGAGTGGCTGGCTGGCCAGGAGGGATCCAAGGGCTATGTGCATATCAGCTTTCTAAAGCAGTTCCTGGTGCGATACCTCCACGAGCTTAGCTATGACGGCCAGCAATTCTATACGCTTATGAAATATTATCTGAAGACGCGCTTCAAGGAGTCGTCTACGCTGAAGGACGACGAGAAAATACGCTCCTGGTGGGAGTATACCAATGAGCTGGAGTTTGCCTTTCTCGAGATACTCAACGCCGATCTTGATGCCAATGACAATGACAATGATAATGATAAGGGACCAGTCGAAGGCGACAATTCCAGCCCCGACGCTTCAGCCTCTGTTCGGGGCTACGATGTGCTCATGAATCTGCCGCAACCTGGCTGCTATGTGGCGTCCTTGTGCACAGAGCGTGCCGAGATTTGCATCTGGGATGTAAAGAACTGCTGTCGCATACGCGAACTCCAGGGCATACAGCAACCGACGGCCATGTGTCCAGTTGGTAATTACGAAGCAGCTGTGCTGTGTCGTCGCGAGATTCGAGTCATCAACCTGGACGAGGGAAAGTTTAAGGTATGCTTTTATATTGAGAGAACATGTGGAGACTTTGTTGATGCTATCCAATTTTACTATTTGGCAGGTCACATTAAAGGGCGTGATGAACCAGAAGATGCCCTACTTTGGCCTGCACGATCAGAATCACCTGGTTTGTCTCTCGCGCAACCGCATGTATGTGAATCTAATGAATCTGGAGTCAGGCGATTGTGTGACCACCTTTAAGGCGGGCGAGGATCGCTTCCTGAACTCGCTGCTAGTCTCCGGCGACGGACGGTGAGCAATTATTTGTTGACCACATGAACTTTGCCGTAAAATTCGCATTATTTTTTCAGGATTTTGGTTTGCGGCGACGAGACGCAGAAGCCATTTCCTCTGCTCGTTTGGCATTTATCGCAACGTAAATTGCTCTACGATCTGCGAATTCCGCATCATGACTTTGTCACCTCGCTATCAGCGATCACGCATGAAGGATCTTATGTGTGTGTGGTAGCCAAGGAACTCAACGAGCCAACAACGCCAAATTTCATTGTGGTCTATGATCTGCAAAGCGGTACCTTGTTCAAGAAATGGAAGCCCAGCTGTAATACAGTTTCCCTGGCCATATCCCAACTGAATGCTTGCGTCATTGCCGGCCTGGAGGATGCCAAAATATTAATATGGGATCTGGTTACGGGCAACTGCAAGTGTACGCTAATTGGACACAATGCGCCTGTAACATACTTGAAACTGGATCCATTGGGCAAAGTGCTGTTGTCGTTCGACAAGGAGGGCCGCGACAGCGCAATACGCATGTGGGAGTTGAGCTCAGGTGAGAAAACTGGTCAAGTTCCAAGTCACTGTTGCGTTACTTTTTCGCTCTTGTTCCCAGCCAAGTCGCTGGCTGTTTTTAAGCCACCCGCACAGATCAGCACCTGCGAGATTTTGCCAAATGGTGCGTTCGTAGTATTGGCTCTCAGAGATCGCAACGATCTACTAACGCTGGCGCTGAAGAATTATGGTGGCAGCAACACTGCCAACGCCCTGGAGGATGACTGTGGCACCTTATATGGCAATCCCGACAACCAGCACAAAGTTTTCAACTTAAGTAATTAATGGGGTCAGATACCTGGATCAATTAACATTAGATATCATTATTCAAATTAAAGCATACATATATGAAAATGACACACAAAAACAAATGAAAAGAAATTACAATTCCGAACGATATAAATATCACAAAAAGAATCTTCTCATGCATAGTTCATTAGTTGTATGTAAAATTCTTAAAAACTTACCAGATGTACAAAAGGCTAAACAAATAACCAAAAAATAACAAATACAAAATTCATTAAGTCATCTCTATATATGTAGCTTTATTGTTGTTCTCGTCTGTTGCAACTTCTTCTCAGGTTGTAACAAATAAATACAGCAGATTCTTAGCGAACTGAATGATCTCCGTGCCACCCAGTTTCGAAGTGCCGTAAATGCGATCCACGAAGGATATCGGCACCTCGGCTATGCTGAAGTTATGCTGGCGAGCGCGGACCAACATTTCCATTTGGAAGACGTAGCCCTTCGATACGCAACTGGCAATGCACTTCTCCAGTACCGGTTTCTTGTACAGCCGAAATGAGCCCGTCAAATCGCTAGCATTTGGACGCAACAGCACTTGGGACAAATAATTGGCACCGCGCGAGATGAGCTTGCGCTTAAAATCCCAGCCGTAAACGCCGCCGTTGCCGGCATATCGTGTGCCAGAAACGATGTCATAGTCGCCCGACTCTTGCAGCTTTATGAACTCGGGTATGAACTTGGGCTGCAACAAAATAAGCAAGCAAATATTTGTACCTTATCCATGGCACACGTCATGGCTATAATCTATGCTCACATGATGACTCAAATCGGCATCGATGATAATAATAAAGTCGCCGGTGGCATGTTTAATTCCGTGAACGTAGGCTGTGCCTAGGCCGAGCTTGCCAGCGCGCGGACGTAAAACAATTCTTTCCTCGCCATAGATCTTCTGCAAATCCTTAGCCACGTCCAATGTGCCATCCGGACTGCCATCGTCAATAACAATTACCTCATACTCGTAGCCGCTGGAAAGACAACTTTAGTCGAGTTGCCAGCTTAATAATATGTCATGTACTCACCTAGCTTTCATATATTTCACAATAAGCCATATAATAATTGGCAAATTGTCTTTTTCATTGTATGTTGGCAGCAAAATGCTGTATTTATGGCCATTTGTTGGCATTTTGTTTTGCTTATACAAATAACATGCTAAACAGATTCGTTCGGTCGAAGAGCGAACCGGGTATAAAATTGTCGTTCATTTAGTTCGCTAAGCCTCCAATGGAACTCAAATGAACGACACAAATTAAAACCGATAAAAATAGTAGTATTGGTAAACACCATTTTTCAAGCAGCTGATATTTATCGACATCCGTTAGCAATAAGCTACAAGAGCAGCGCAACTGTGCAAACGCTGTTTGACCGCAGATTCGGCATGAACCGCTCTTTAATTTACGCTTAGTTTGTGCGTCAAACATTTGACGCTGCTCACGGCAACGTGCAACATACTGACTGCATTTAAGTAAATGTGTGCACGTGAAGTTGTATAGTGTTTTTCTTTCTACATAATGGCCAAGAAAATACCATTTAATGTGGTATTTGCCTCAGGTAAACAAGTCCAAAACATAAGCTCTGTAGAATTGTGCTTTTTATTTATATAACTTTATTTAACGATTGTTTTTCATTTTGTTTTAGTTTAATTTTAAATTTGTTTCCAGTTATATTTGCCGCTGGGCTAGTCCAGTGCTGAGCATCGCGCGCCATTAGGGCTCACTTGAGAAATCGATAAAACACGCATACGCCTAGTGCAACGCCTAATTAAACAACATTCAAAAGTTCAATAAAACTGTAAATGCATGGTAACAACATTTTTTATTTTATTCATTTATGTAGACATAGAACATATGTATCTTATCTTATGTAAATGATGCTTGGTATGAAGATAACTTGAAGCGGTGCAAACAGATCCATAACAAACTACTTTCTATGTGTAATAATGCATTTTAAACGCAGTTTTGTCAGCATATATCGTTATAATGTCCGATTGCGGATTGTCATAATATGTCTGGCGTCTGTACCAACATATATAATTTAATATGCAGCCAAAGAATTTTGGCAGCCGGCCAAGCGCACCGAATTGACAGTTTCATTGAGCTTTACAAAGTTTGCCTTATTTATTTTACTCATACTCCGGGACATGCCATTTTAGCCTCATAGCCTCCACCATTGCGAAACCCCTTTTTACGTAGACTCTTGCTTCAGCTGATGATTTCTTTGCCGCCTGTATTTAAGCTTTGTTAGCAGCGAACCCAGGGGTCCAATTATGGTCAGGAGATAGACTAGTGCGGTGGCCAACATCATGGCAGGTATAAACTGATGATCCACATAGCGTGTAAAGAATTCTGAGTAGTAGCCGAGGTAAATCGCTGTCATGCCCAGCGTAAAGGTGAGCAGTCCAAACAGATTATGACGAAAGCGCAGTTCGGAGGGTGGCATTACTTGCAAAACAATTTTGGGCTGAAAAAAGTTAACCAGGCCGCCAACAACGCTGGCGGCGCAGCCGAAGGCAGCGGCCACTCCTAAAATGTCAATTAACATTAGTCCTTCACTCAACCGTTAAATTTATGCGTACACGCACCGAATCTGCCATGCCAGGTATTCAAGTGCACCTCCTTCTGGGAGAACTTGCCCAAGGCACCCAGCAACACCATCGAGCCGCCGACTAGCTGCAGCAGGCCATGGAAACGGGACTTGTTCTTGTGCGATATCCAGCGGGTTATCGGATTTACCTTGTAGTGTGACATCAGTGCCTGCGCAATTAGCACATGAAACTACAAAATAAGGGTATAAAGGTTACAAAATCAATGATAAGTTGTTATAATTGATAAGTTGCTAACAATGACACTGTCATTTTAGGCCACTTAATGGGCATTAATAAGGCTTGCTTTTGATAAAGTTTTCACAGTTTTTACTCACACCAATGCCCGTCATGAACATGTGCATGGCCGTGTCCTTAAAGTCCAGACTGCGGGCCAGCGTAAAGAAGAAGGCAGCCACTAGAAAGATCAGCATATGATTTATGCTGTTCAATGTGCTTTGAATTTGCAGCCATGCGGATGACATCGCAGATAATTTTGTAGTTTGCGACATATTTGAAGAACCCAAGAAGCAATTACAAATTCAATTAACCAAATTTCGATGTGCTGCGGCCCAGGCTACAGACGCGACTAGCGCAAATCTACTTCGGCTGCGTGTATAAAAGAGCGGCAGATGATAAGACGGAGCGTCGACGCGTCGTCACAGCCACGTATGGATGTGTGTACCTGAATGATAGCGTCATTCTAATGTTTTTTTTTTGTTGTGTGTTGCGGCTTAGTTTAACATCTGCTTAAGCTGATAACAGTTAACATTTGTTGTGGAGCTGCTTACAGTAGACGTTGTTTACCAACACTATTTATCCAAATAAATTGCTGACACTGTTTTGTTTTCCAGATGAGGACGCCAGCTTCCCGGCCAGCGAACTAAACACACATGGCCCCACGGTGCACGGCTGGCGCAGTGCCGTGGACAGCGGAGCTAGCACGCACGACATCATTCTCCGTTTCCACCAGCCTGCCAAGATTTATCGCATTCAGCTTTTGGCTCATCAGTACTTGATACGTGAGTTGAAGCCCACCAAAAATGCTGGATACCAAAAAAATATTGTTTCTCATTGCAGCCGAAAAGGTGGAGCTGTGGCTACACTACTCTCCAAAGTCAATACCCAGCACTCCGTCCTCGCAGTATTTTGATTTTCTTGGATTTGTCGCGCTCGCCGACAATGCGAACACCAACTACAAATCCCGTGAGCTGCAGAGCGTTACTGTGAATCCGAGACGGGGCACACATCTGAAGCTGCGGCTGATTGGGGCTCATTGCAATGAGTTCAACGCTAGTCAACAGATTGCCCTAATGGCGGTCAATGTGCTCGGTGAGGATCTGGAATCGGCTGCCATAAACGATGGCGACGAGCATCTGGCCAGCGAGACGCCGCCTATAGACACCGCCACCGGTGAACTGGCTCTCGCCTCCGTGTGTGATGACCTGTTATTTTCAATGTACGTGGAAGAGTCAATTGTGCAGCACATACGCGAGCTGGAGCAGTGCAAGCTGAAGGCGGTCAGCTCTGAGCGATTCGAATATGCCCGCAAGCTGAAGCTTTGTATGACGGCTCTGCGAACGGCCGGAGAGCGCCTGGGCCGATATGCGCTGGCCAAGCGCCAGGCGGTGCAACAGGAAGACTTCAGCGCAGCCAAGCTGCGCAAGGAGCAGATTGAAATGTATCGCACGTGCGTACTAAAGGAGCTGCAAGTGCATCAGCTGCTCGAGACGGACGGTGCACTTAGCCAAAACGATCAGAGCTGTGAAATCTATGCGGGCGGCAAACCGAGTCTGCCGCCCGCACCTAGTCTACAGGATGTGGCACATGCTCTGGCCGAGGCTGCCATCAGTCCGAAACGCGCCAGTGCCCAGCGCGATAAATCACCAATCGACGTCTCCAGCAATGATGTCGTGAGCGCAGTTGTCGCGCCGGCTGCTGCACTGCATCTGCTAGCTAAGTCGCACGATGAGTTGCCCCAATCGCCCCGGCTGCCAATGGCATCGCGGCACAGCTCACCCATGTCCAGTCGACAGGGATCGCTGAGAAGGCGCAATAAAAGTGCTCCGCGCAACTCCTACGAGGATTACGAGGAGCGAGCTATTCCCACCCTGAGGCAGTAAGTTTTAAACAATCTGTAGCTAGTGTTGTTGTTGTTGTGGTAAGGAATAGCGAGAATGTTGCATGATTCGGCATGACACGGTAAACGAACAACATAATCCATAACACTTATAGACCCGCCATTTAAAAGACCGTAAGAGTAACCGTCATCGATGTTTTTGGTGCTTTCGTTTCGTTTCGTTTCTCTTTTTCCCCGTAAACGTTGTCGTTCCGTTACCCTAACTATTTAGCTCAAATACTAATGAATTTTTAAGGGAGTGCCAGGGCAATGCGCTGCTCGAAGCGGACCCAAATCGCAGTCGCTCGCGTCTCAACGATCGCGAGCGTCGCCAGGCTGCGTTGCCCATTCTCGTATTTGGCAGTGAACTGGTAAGCTTTGTCCTTTCGCCGTACATTCATAATAATAATCTGTATCGATCTGTATTTTTCAGGTTGAGCAGTTCTACTCTCGCCAGTTTCAGGATCGGGAGGATGGTCTCCTGCGCCTGCGAAACTTTCTCAAAGAGCGTGAAAAAGTCGAAGCGGAAGGCAATGAGCATGCGGCCAGTCCAAACAAGGTGGCACGCAGTGCTGCGCTTCTACTGCACCGCGCCGTTCGAGATGCCGTGTACTCTGTTTTTAGCCAGGCAACCGAAACAGTTCGTGTGTTGTTCCTTGAATATGTACCGGGCCGTGTGTCACCCAACGAGGTGGCGCGGTGCGTGGATCGCCTGCTGCCCGAGCTCCTGGCCAAGTCGGGTGATCCCTCGGCCCGTTTGCACACGCTGGCGCAGCACACAATACTCAGCATTGCCGCCTGTCCGCAAGTGGCCGAGCAACATCTGGTGGCGCCAGCGCTTTCGCGCAGCGTTGGCTCTGGAACGCATCAGCGTTTGGCCATGAGCCGATTGCAAATGCTGGAACAGTTGGTGCATACACAAGGCATTAGCTCTGATAAGCACAGCGGATTAACCTGTCGCGCCTTGTCCGACTGCGGTTGCTCCGGCATACATCATCCCGCGGAGCCGGTACGCAAGGTGGCCGAACGCATTTTGCTGCTTGTCTACAAAGTGAATCCGCGACTTGTGCGTAAGCAGCTACCACCAGACGACGACATCACCAGACGCAACCTGCTCTATCGTCAGCTCTTCACAGAGTTCGATAAACTGGACTTGGAACGCAAGCAGGAGCTACTGGAAGGCAGTAAATACGTGGACGGCTACAATCCAAGCAATGGCGCCGATTTCATGCAACCCTCGACCAGCACCGATGCATCTCGCATACTGAAAAGCATGAACGGTGGGGCTGGTGCCACCGACAATGGCTATGTAAGCTGCAACGGCAAGCAGCAGTACAACGAGCAACTTAAGCGCTCTATGCAGTCGGCATCGAACTCGCGCAAGGGATCAGCCACTAACTCCGAGTCTACTGAGGAGGCAACGCCGAAAACGTGAGTGCAGCCTGAGACGTAATTATATTCAATATATGCCCAAACATTCATTATAGCAATTGCCCGTTCTGCGGCTGGTGCTGCTCTGGCAGCGATGCAAGCCAACTGGATCGACATTATTGGAAAGCTTGTCCATTTCTCACCAAGTGCCCACAATGCAGTCAGGTGCTGGAGGTAGCTGCGCTCAACTACCATTTGACAAGTGAGTCTTATTGCGATTCAAAGTATACGCACATTCTAAAATTGCCGCCTCCCCAACTCGAACTACAGCGGAATGCGAAGCCAAGGAGAGTTATGTGGTGTGCACTCGCTGCACAGAGTCGGTGCATAAACAGCTTTATGAACTGCATCAGATGGAGGACTTTTGCCGCGGTATGTATCTTACCGAGCGGTCATCTATAGCTGGGTATTTACTTGATTTATTTTAGAGTTACAAACGGGAGCCGCTCGCTGTCCACTTTGCCATGATGATGTACATCTACCCTTGGATGGCGGTTGGAAATTGCACCTTCTAAGCGCAGGCGGCTGTCCAGGCAATATACGTAAACGGAATTTAAAGAAAGCAAACTAAACAAATACCCTTGGACTAAATTCATCAATAACCATCCACTCATAAGTGAAAATTGACAACTTAATGCGAGTTTATCACAAGCCAACGGCCATTAGCGTAATTTAAATCAATTTTTATTCCATACATTCCATTTAGAGCGAATTTTGTTATGAGACCTAGTTAACGCCAACATTACTTATGCTTTATATTTTGTTACACTTTATTCAAGTATATATGTTTTCTACGCAATGTGATTTGTTAACTTTACATAACACGAATATCCAAACGTCCTAGAATAATAAAGCCAATCAACAGTAATTTTAAATATGAATTTACAGTCCGCTAATTATTCGATATATTTGAGCCCTTGGTGTTTTCGAGCACTGTTAACATCGATTTTTGACCGATCTGGCAGCACTGTGTCATTAAGAGCAAGCTTACCGCGAGGCAATTAATTGGCTCTTAACAAGCACAACCATCAATAAAAAATATTAATAGACAAATATTTAATAATAATTTTAATATGTAAAAAATATTTAAGTTAATAGACATAAATACCATCTCTAAATAGGTGATTGCGTCAAAGTGTGTGTTGCAAAATAACCCCCAAGCCAGCTGAGTGTATCAGTGTATGTGTGCGTCAGTATTATAGCGTGCATACATACGTGTAAGTGTGTGTGTGTGTGTGTGTGGTGTGCCTAAAGCGTGAAAAGACAGCCGGCAAGTAATTTTTTTTGTTGTATTTATATTTGAAAAAATAGCGAGTTGTGCACGCTCTTAAATTGGTCATTTGATTCGTGTTTGCCTGTGAAAGCAGTTCTCCTGTGCAAACCAGTTCATGATGCGCTGAGCATCGACAATTAACGTAAAAGCCACAGTCGATTGTCGCAACAACAACTGCGATAGTGGCTCGGACTTGCCGCCGTCGTGTTTTTCCCCGCTTAGATATATTCAGTTAATGCGTATGTACACATAAGAAGCTGCACGTACAATAAACCAACAGAGCACGTGCGTTACCCACGCCAACAACTTGAATATAATGATGCAGGGTGTACGGCAGCAATTGATTGACTGGAGATACCTGACGCGGGAGCAAATCGATGGCTTTGACAATTACAAGGTAAACGAAGGGATGGCGAGGGGGAGGAGGGGGGGAGTGCATACAAAACGATATCCATAATGGCAAACGCCTTTCTTTTATTACTGGATACAGTACAGCGCCATAGACACATCGCCGCTTAGCCAATATGTAATGCACCCCTTTTGGGATTGGCTGGTCAAGGTGAGTAGTTCGCATGTTCATATTCATACAACAGAAAAAAATCAATATTTCAAATAATGAATGACGCTTTACCCTCAGTTCTTCCCGCGCTGGTTTGCGCCCAATCTGATGACGTTCCTGGGCTTCCTGTTTAGTGTGATGAACCTGGTGCTACTCTCCTACTACGATTGGAATTTCGAGGCCAGTTCGGGTGAGGAGGGCACAACGCCCATTCCAACATGGGTTTGGCTGTGCGCCGCCATCAACATATTTGTTGCGTACACCCTGGACGGCATCGATGGCAAGCAGGCGCGTCGCATTGGGCTGTCCGGGCCGCTGGGCGAGCTGTTTGATCATGGCCTAGACTCGTACACGGCCATGATTATACCAACATGCCTATACAGCATATTTGGCCGGAGCAGAGTCTACTCAGTGCGTCCGATGCGCATGTATTACGTCTGCTTAACGGTCTATTTTAACTTCTTTGTGTCGCACTGGGAGAAATACAATACGGGCATATTGTATCTACCGTGGGGCTATGATCTCAGCATGTGGGGCAGCACGGCCATGTACCTGTTCACGTATTGGATGGGCTTCGAGCGTTGGAAATTTGAGATATCGTTGGGCGCCCTCGGAACCCTTCCTCTGGGCAATGTCATGGAGGCAGTACTGCATGTCAGTGCCATGGCCAATCTGCCTCTCGTAATTCTCAACGTCTACAAGTGAGTGTCAAATCGTTTATGCCGTGCTCCACAATATATTCCTTCGGTTATTTACAGCTCATATGCTCAGCGCACCGGCCGATTATTGTCGCCATGGGAGGCGCTGCGTCCGATGTGGCCATTTATAACCTACTTTGTCCTGCTGTTGCTCTGGCCCTTTTTGTCGCCCAATGATATTATGGAAAGGGATCCGCGCGCCATGTTCATGCTAAGCGGCACAATTTTCTCCAACGTCAGCGTAAGTCTGTTGCCTTATCACATGCGTATAATTTAGAATGTTGTATTTCAAACTTCTTGGTTTGAGGCAAGCACAATGTGGGTCATTAACGATCTTGCTATCGACTATAATTATTGACTCATGTAAGATATGAGGTGGGCTGGTCTGTTCGTCATTTAGGGGTTTTTTTCAACTAAAAAAAAGCACAATGTTGCTAAAATTGAAAATTACGAGAATATGAATAATTTTATTTTATTTGTTTGGTGTCCGTCCGACTTGTTAGACTAACCAATACATATTTTCAACTAGTTTTGATAAGGTAAACCTAAAACTCGGCGATAGGCACCAATGAAACAAAAAAAAAATAAAGCAACAGAATATAAACAAGTAAGAGGTTCTAGTCGGGAGCTCCCGACTAGGGGATACCCTGAACTCTCTTGTTCCGAAAGGCGCTAGGTATAAAATGAAAAATACTTGATATATATAACCTATTCTAGAAGCTTCATGTCAAGTTTGGTGAGTCTAGTTCATATTATTTACCGAAATTGCTCAAAAAACAGGATTTCGATCTAGATTTTAATCGATTAATTTGTTAAATTTGTTAAATGTTATCGAATATCGGAAACAAACTCGATCTGCGCGGGCACTAGGAGGACCTACAGCTATAATTTCAAGTCTCTAACTCCTATAGGATCTGAGATCCTTGCGTTAATACATACGGATAGACAGACAGACGGACATGGCTAGGTCGACGCGGCTATTGATGCTGATCAAGAATATATATACTTTATGGGGTCGGAGATGCTTCCTTCTGCCTGTTACATACATTATACCACTTTGGCTCGTAGAATGTCGCTAAAGAATTTTGAATATAGATGGGATGAAAAATTTAAATTGTTTTATCCAACCCGTTTTTCAAATTAGTTCCACCTTTGTGAAAATTGTATAACCCCACATGTTTACTTGTCTTAAAAGTGGAAAACATTGTGAAAATTGATAATTCGAATTGTGACGACTTTATTTGTATTTGTAAAGATAAACGCGTATACTATTAAAATTTCAAGTTTTAAGCTATCGGAGTTATGGAAAAAACAAGATTAGATTGCGATCAAATTTAGCCAAACTGATAAAGTCATAAAGTCTTTACCCAATATTTGATAATTGATATTTATTGATGTTAAAGCTATCAGAAAGGCAATAACCTGATCCATATTTGTGCCTTATTGAGCGGCTATATACATATATTAAGTATGTAACTATTATACCGATTCTTTACCAATTGAATTGGCTTTGACAAGTGTATAGAAATTCGTGACAATTTCATAGCCAGTTTCAGACGTCAGTTTAGGCTAACTGAATACAGAGACACATTCTCTCAAAAACACCTCGAAAACGACAAACACTTAAACGAAAGACTTGCAAATATGCCACCATTTTGCTGTGGTGGACGGCGCTGTGCCACAAATAAATTAGAGGATGACGAGCAGGCAGAGTCCCCGATAACAGTCACGGAAGGGGAGCATCCGATGACCCTCAAGTTCTATGCCCGTCACGATCAGCCGTACTTCAACTGCACCGATGAGCAGCTGCGTCGAATACGTGAAAAGTTCAATCCAAAAGGAACAGACTTTGAAGCCGGTGCCCAGCCAACAGAGAAGCCGACAAAGTACGAGCCGAAGCATGCCACAGCGCAGCCCTTGACAGAGAATCAAATTTATGGCTGGTATCACCATCGCGCCTATCGCTACCAGAAGCAGGATCGCGGCATTTTCATTTTTCCGCGCGAAGGTGATCCGCTCATCAAGCTGATCCTGGAGTCGAATTTAAGGGCTGGTTAACCAAACAGTTTACCATGGGGACTACAAGCAAGGGTTTTTCGATATGAATTTCTAAGCATTTTTTATTTAATTTCGACCACATTTTATACGTACCCATTTTGATATTTGAGTATATTGCAAAATATATACTGAGATTAGAAAAAAAAAGTGAAATGCAAGAGCTCGACTTGCGACTTATAGGTTGTCATAGCCATTATAATATATGGGTCCAACTGGGAGGACAGACCTTTTTCGACTGTAGATGCGGAATGTGAATTTTGATTTAATACGATATAGACATGTCTAGTCATGAGTGACCGACTTTTGGATACCCTGCACCTTCCACCCATACCAATTGCAGCTTATGCCTAACATTTTTCAAAGAAACTTTTAAATGGCTTAAAGGCATTATTAAAAAATAAATAAAATAAATACTTCCCTCCCTTCTTGAGCTTTGATTACTTTAATAACTGCTGTAATTCAAAACCGAAGTTTTTGAAATTTTGTGGAGAAGATCGTATTGTGCCATAGAGGATTCGTTTTGGAGTTTTTTATATTTGATTTTTGAGACATCGGAGATGGGTTACGCAAAGAATCAAATATAAATGATTATATATACACTATACTAGAAGCTATTAGTCAACTTTGGTGACTAGGAGGATCTTCCTTCAAAATTTGTAGCTCTTATTGGTTTTGAGTTCGACGCGTTGATACCTCGACTGACCAAGAATGAATATTCTTTATGGGGCGAAGATGCTTCCTTTTACATGATTAGCAAAAGTTACGTTTGATCGTTTAGACCTGGAAATGTACTGTCATAATCTCGTTTTGTATCGACTGAGACACTGAGAATAACACACACAAAAGGAAAATTTTGAAAAGATGCCACCATTCTGCTGTGGAGGTCGGCGCTGTGCCAAGGATAAGCTTAGCGGGGAGAATAATGTCCACACCAAGTCGCCGATAAGTGCAACAGAGGCTGAGCGTCCGCTGACCCTCAAGTTCTATGCGCGGCACGATTGGCCGTACTTCAACTGCACCGATGAGGAGATTCGTCGGATGCGTGAAAAGTTCGATCAGGATAATCTGAGTGCCGGAAGCAAAGACAAGCCAAAGGACACCGCCGAAACAGAGTACGTGCCGAAGCATGCCACGGGCCAGCCACTGACAGAGAATCAAATTTATGGCTGGTATCACCATCGCGCCTTCCGCTACTTGAAAAAGGATCGTGGCATCTTCGTATTTCCGCGCGAAGGTGATGCGTTGATAAAGATAATTCAAGCTGCCAACAAAATGTCCCGCTAAACACAACGTGGGGAAAGGAGCTCCAAAACTTTGGCCGACAAGACATCCTTTTCCCTCATATGCATATGACATTTGGTCAATTCGCGAAATTCATTGTCAGATTTTATATATTCCCTTTCAAATCATATTACAAATCGAGGAAAACTGACATTTAATTTATTCGGAATACCTCAAGCAAATATTTCTATATTAATTCGGCAAAAAATTGATTTTTAAACCGGGAAAACCATTTCAAATAAAAGGTTCTCTATTTAACACTGTCTATTACTTGGGCTAGGAGGAGACATTTGTCATATAAGGACTTATTCGCCAGGTGTAACTTTAAACGAATATTAATTGTATCCATTTCAATTATACGTCTTACAGTGCCGCCTGATTGTGTCCCAAATGTCTGTCACACGAGCCGAGGCCTGGCACTGGCAGACGCCCATGTTTGTGCTTTCCGTGCTGGTCAGCCTGTGGCTTCCGGTGCTGGAGCGGCCGCTGCTCTACACGCTGCTCCTTGTGACCACCTTGTCGCATTGGCACTACGGCGCCAGCGTGGTGAATCAGATGTGCGAGCACTTCAATCGCGTTTGCTTCACGGTGCACAAACGAGTGGAATATCAGACCACGAATCCGGAGCAAACATTGCAGGAGCGCAAGGAGGGTCCGACGACAGCACTCAAACAGGATTAGGCTACGCACATTCCGTCAAATTTATGAATGTGCTACGATTATTCCGGAGGCTCGAACCGTGTGTGCGATGTGAGATTCTACGTAATTATTTGTTCTAGTTAACGCTTTCTCAAGCAAATGCTCAGGTAGCACGGACCTTGAGTTACACTATCTGATATACTTGTAAATTGACTTAGATATTCCTTTTATTAATGTTTTTATTGGAAAACTGAAACTCGCTTATCCCAAAGTATTCAGTGTTAAATGTGTAACCGATATCAACATTTATGCACTCCTTGGAATAAAATCAGGTTTTGGCTTTCAACTAAGAGAACTATCCGAATCATTTAATCGTTAATCAACACTCATCTTACATTCAAATTGTATTTAAGATTAGACACATTTTTAAAGGCCAGATTCGGTCGAAAAAAATACGCTCGCATCGTGTTCCCTGTAAACATTCTAATTATTAAATTATTTTTTATGCCAGTGTTTTATATTCATTGTCATATCACTTTCAAATTCTAGTATAATGGCATACCTTAAATGTGCTTAATTTATTTGTATTATTTTTTAATTGTTATAGTTTATATTGTGCCCACGCAAAAAGATTACAAAAATTCTAGCTGAATGCTGAACATGACATGTTTAATTAAGACAACCGCCAAGACCTCTAATTATTTAAATGCATACTATGTAATTATTATTTAAACACATAATTATGTATACTACTTACTTATTATGTGGTCGCTGTATCGCCACAATTTATGGATTAATTATGTTTAACTGTAAATGTCGCTTCCCCCTCCTTGAAACTGTGCAAAAGACAAGACAACTTTTAAAAATAATAAATTATATTTTAGAAAACGCGATTTACAGATGGGACATTGAAAATTTAATTAAAAAAAAGGTTATTTTATGTAGATGATAACAGGCAAGTGAGATCGACTGGCGGATACCCTTTAGTCACTTCGAAGAGAAGGAATAAACCCGCAGAACCTTCCCAAATTATCACCGTTCTTTTCCATTCAAATGTTAATAGCGTAAATAAACATATCTTCTTCGATTCAATTGTTAATGCGCACAAAATGCACCTAATCGAGTCCACACGACTGCCAATCAGGTTTGCGCAGCTGTCAACAATCCAGCGATCAATTTGAGTACGTGCTCAGGCGATTAGCTGGACATCAAAATACTTCCTCATTGCCTAATTGGTGTGAAAATCTAATTCACGGCCCACTGTGCGCGCGCTTTGAGAACCTAAGAGCTGCCCCCCACTCCAAACCTTCCCCCTCAACCGCACTATAGCTATGGCTATCAATAACGGAGAAGCAAACATTACGCCGCGGCAGCAGCAGCAGCGCGGGTGTAAGCGAGCAGCGACGTCGACGTCAACGTGCACGAGTCACGCATACGAAATGGGTACGACAACAACAAAAAATCACAACTACACACGAATAAATAAAAGCAAAACAATCAACAAAAACGGTGACAGAAAACCAGAACGAGAACGAGAAGGAGAAGGAGAAGAGGCAGATGCAAAAGAAAGCAACAAAGCAGCGACATCGACGTCGCTGCTATGCGCTGCTGCTGCAGAATATGAAAGTTGCGCATGCGCCAACGTCGACGTCGACGTTAAAGCTCGCGACGCCAGCTTGAAATCAGTTGCGAGGCAGAAGCGCGAGAGTTAAGAACGAAGAGCAGCACGTCAAGCGGCTGTTAAACACATTTCGCCATTCTCTAGAAAATTGTTTCAAATATGTTTTCAAAGACTTTCTCGCTGTTGCTGCTGCTCGGCGCAACGGCGTTAGCGTCGCAGGCGCCCTATTTGCGAGACAGCACAACCGAGTCGCTGTCAAGCAGCAGCCAGAGTCCGAGCCCGGCTTCTATTCAGGAGGAACATTTTCCGGCTGTGGCGCCGCCTCAGGCAGCGGAGGCAGCTTTGATTGAAGCACAGGTGGGTTCACTGCAGCCACCACCGGCAGCTGAGGATGGACTGCGTCGGCGTCTCGTCACCTACGACCAACGACAGGAGGGACAGTACAACATAAGAGCCGATCTGGAGAATTTTATGATCGTGCTGATACCGCCGGGACCTCAGGAGGGTTTGAGCCTGTTGGACCTGCTGACCAAATCCTCCTTGCGTGGCGCCACAAAGAGCAAAAGCAAACGCAAACATGCGGATGCCTCTGCCCTGAAGTCCTTCTATCAGCGACAGCAACTGCTGCAGCAACAGCAGCAGATTCCCCAGGCAGCATTGGGCGTGGCCCTGCCCGAGTTTATTGAGGGACGCACGCCCTACCATGTGGACATCTCTGGTGCCAATGAAGAGCTGCAGCAGCAGCAGCAGCCGCGCTTGCATCGACAGCAGGTAGATGTTTTGCCGCCGCAGCTGATTCCAATGCCGCAGTTGATCAAGCCGTATCATCTTGAGGCGGAACCCGAGCTCATCCAGGCATTGCCGCCTGTTCCCGCCAGTGCCAGCAGCGCTGGCAACAATCTTCTGGAGGGGTTTAACCAGGCGGGCTCTCAGTACTATCGCCATTCACGCTCCCTGCGTGGTGACAGCTTTTTGGACACCAATCGCTTGGCGCCCGAGCCTGTCGCCAGGACCAATGCACGCTCCATCAGTGTTCCACTGTATCGCACCGATGTCGCCCACAGCCAGACCCAAGCAAACAATGCCAATGTCTTGTATCCACCCATCGATGTGCCCGCCTACATTGTGAACGAGGCACATCCGCGGAACTGGCAGCTGGACGACGAGCCCACACCCATACTGCCCAAGCACTTGGTTGAGGCGGATGTGCTAAGCTTCCAGTTGCTTGGCGATGCTCTGGCCAACTCCAAGACGCTCTTGCGCGACGGCCAGGCACTTTGTGCGCCGGGACAACGGCGTGATAGCTACGGCGCCTGTCGCCAGGTCGAGGGCTACTGAGACTGAGATACTTTCCAGACTGCTAAGCGAAAAAGCGAATATATTAGGCTAAACATAACGATAAATGCGATTTTTTACAAAGCATTAGTTTTAAGCTCCAAACATATACAAAATTAATAAAAAAAACAAACTTGAAATTCAAATTTAGCGCCAAGCGATCATGTTAATTGCTAATGTTATTGTTAACATTGGGTGCATGTAGCCGGAAGCCAGTGTGAGAGAGCGCTAAATGTGAGTGTAACGGTAATGCGTTGCGCTGAAGGATAAACCCAGTTGAATGCTAGGTTAGATGACATCAAGGGGCCAACAATAACAACAAAAACAGCCATTGCATTCGCTAAGGCCAGAACCATAATTTGCAACGTTGCAATGTTCATTTCAAAAAAACCTGTTTTCATTGCACACACAAAAAAAAGAACAGAAAAAAAGAAGAAAAAAAATGCAATTTCAAGTTTGTGATACCAGCATCTTCCTGTGAGAATTGGCTAGAGGAATAGAGGTGCATTCTGTAGTGACCGCCGAGCAGGGTCAATGACCAAGGCTAAGCACAGCACACAGCACAAACATGGCAGACAAAATTAACCGTTAATATGTACAATAAACAAACCGCAGCCTTTGGTCTATTACAAGTAATTAGAACGTTGAACAATGACTCGCGCTTTTCTTGAAATTTAGGTTATTAGGCTAGAGTTGTTTGTACATATAATTAAGCATCATCTATCAATTATAAACGAAGGCACAATTGTAAAATTCCGCGTTGTTTATGTGCATTGAATTGTTCAGGCTGCGGTCAAAAGCTGCGCTCTAATGAAGGTTCTCACATTCCCACTACAATGCGGAAGTCTTTGGGCCATTGAACTGAACACAATCGGGTTTTTGTTAGCATCAGGCAAAGGCTCCTCTTCTGTTTAAGTCCAGAGCTGTGGCTCATTCATCGCCCGCTGTCGGACGCCGACGGTCCTGCACGCGAATCGAAGCTACCAAACAAAATGTGCAAATTCACCCATCGATTATTTGTCTTGGTCTTGTTGCAATTTATTGGCTTGGCCGTGGCCAAGCCTCTGAAGACGCGCAACAGTGCCAGCGATTTAATTGAGCTTTTGTACAATGATTATGGCGATTATGGCTATCAGTTGGAGGAGGTTAACTACGATCAACGACAGAAGGGCGAAGAAAATTTTAAAGTGCGCCTAGATGGCTTCCTAATTGGATTGCCAGCTCGTGATGATTCATCCTGGCTGGATCTACTTGCTGAAGAGTATTTAAGTGAGCGAACACAGTGAACACAGAATGAAAAGATTCAAGCTAAATGTGTCTCCTCTTAGGTAACGCGCTGCCCAAAAAGCCAGCATCTCCAGAATCTGGACTAATTTTTCAGACTGTGGCTGAAAAAAATATAACGGATGCAACGACTGCTCCAGTGGTAAATATGCCTGCGTCAAAAAAGGAGATCGAAAGCCGACAACACGCCAATGATGATATGCCCAGCTCACCCCGGTTTGTATGAATAATTGAATCCTTCATTAATAAAATGAAGCGCTTATCCTGTCTTTTTTTTTTAGTACAAAGGCACACATGCTGCAGCTTCTGCAAATGTTTCGACGGACTCAGATCTAAAGCGCTAAAAGATATAATACTTATAACGTTTAAAACAATTGCGTTTTATTATTTTTATTGTAATTTACTGAATTTTAAAGTAAACTAAAATCAATTTTGAAAATACCGCCATTGAACTGATTACTACCAGGGTTGATTTCCGACCTGCTCACAGGACAATGTTTTATGCAGTTACCCAATACTGTGAATCGTTCTAAATATATATTTTCGAAAAAAGGGTCACCTTAAGTTCAACATGGCGGTATTCTTTATTATCGTTTTAAAACAGATGTCAAATGATAAGTTGTATCGGTAATAAACGTATTTAACTCTTCTTTATTAAAATTATGTTGTTTTAACTATAATGCAGAGTACACGTATCAATGCCGGTCAGCTTTAAGCTGCTAATGGACTGCCAGTTACTTTTGATCTCCCGCTCAGACGTTGTTGTAACTTATTATATGTTACATATTTTGTAAGATTCTGCTGTTAAGAAAATTTAATTCTATTGTATAAAATGAATCGTGTTTTACACTTATCAGGAAATTCCATTCCTCCTTGGTATAAATGGGTTCAAAGATTTTGTGAGAGAACTTTCGTGTTAAAATTCATTTCCAAAGATCTTTACGAAAAATTTTTTGAAACTTGCTTCACATCAAAGCATCTTCATCTTCATCCGATCGGCTTCAAAATCAAAACTGTGGGTCATATTCATTCATCTTTGTGAAGATTCATCATTTCTCAGCTACAAGACTTGCACCACGGAAGTAAAATTGGCAGAAAACGCAGATTTGAACATCTGGTTCTTAATTTGATAGTCTTCAAACGAATTTTCAAATATCTAGATAATATATATTTTAATACGCTTAAGATAACACGGACGGCTTATACGTAGAAAGTTGATGTCCATAATTTGAATCAAGTAACCTGGACCGGTTAGTTTAAATATAAATAAGAATAAATTTAAAAGAAACTCCTAACTGCACATAGATTATCTCCTAGTACAATACATAAATTAAAAATAAGTAAAGCTACTTTTTAAGAAGTGCGCCAACAACTCACGTAATACAAACATCAGGGTTGATCCGATGCACCCAGCGGACAGTATTTTTTTTAAATTAACCAACACTGTTGGCAGCACGAAAAGCATACACCGATTTCCAAAAATCGTTTTACTTAAGACCAGCTTGGCATTACTATTCGTTTTTACGTACCACTTTATAGACAAATAGGTGGCCAGAGAGTGATTTGCAATATTTTTATGCAGCAAAGAATATTCAAGAACCTTCGTGTCCAGCACACGACTGACAAAACCAGTATAAAAGCCGAACCTGCTGCCGTGCGATTGTATACACAAAGAACGAGTGCGACGCAATAGACGACATAGACAAAAATTGCAAAACAAGTAATAGTAACTAAAATTATTTAAAACGCACAGTCGCTGTCTACATTTTCTAACTTACAAATAAAATAAATAAAAAAAAAAGATTTCAATATGCCTGAGAGATTGCTAAAAATCACCTACCACGATGCACCTGCTAGTGCAACGAAGAAGCTGAATGCATATTTGCGAATGCCATCCAATACTTTTGCTGTTTTGCGTCGAGAAATTGAGATGTACCTGTTCCAGGAGCGCGAACTGCCTGTTTGCAATTTCAGGACATATTGGATTGGTAAATATTAACACGCATACATAGAGCCGATGATATAATAGACAAGTCAAAATGCGAAATAAATTAAGTGCAATGTGTTCTTGTATAAGCACAAGTGTGTGTGTCAGCTGTATCGTATATATGTATGTGTGCTATGTGTATACATCTGTATCAAAAGCCATATGCATACATACAAGCAATTCACATACATGCATTTCACAAGCCCATGTTGCAACCCATTTGACTTTTGTGTGTACCTACACAAGTTTTTACCAGTGCACGCACACGCATACACACATATACATATATGCATATCGGTGCCTCCTTCCACCCAGTGTGATTCACTATTGTGAATATATATAATGATATCAGTATCAATAGATTCGATGGCGAAAAGAAAAACTACCAAAATCGAATGATTCATTTTGGTTAAGAATTTTTTTTGTTTCTGCACATAAACTAGCTTTGTATGTAAATATAATCAGAGTCCCCTAGTCGGGAGTGCTCAGCTTGAAGAACTGCGAACTGCCGTAGCTGACATTTAAATTATATAAAAATAAATAAATAAAATTTAATTTCTTTAGCTCCCTCTTTATTTCGATGTTTTATAAAAAACAAAAAATGCATTTAAGCACTAACATCCGAGCCGATGACCGGTTATAAATATAAAACAATCTGTTAGTCTTTTGCTTAACACACCATTTAAATTCACGTCACATATTTCTATGAATTTCGCAATTTGTTGTAAAGGGTGAAATATTTGAACTTCTTATATCTCTGTTTAGATTCGGATTCTGATGAAATTGAGGTCATCAATCAAAATGACTATGAAATATTTTTGGCCAAATGCGAGAAGAATATGCATTTGCAGATTGCTGCCTGCCGCATCGAGCAGGCAGATGCTAAGCAGGCGCCAGCCTCGGGTCCAGCTGAAGATGATCCCACCAATTTCATTATCCATGAGGGAATAGAGTGCGATTCATGCAAGGCCCTCCCACTGGTCGGTTTTCGCTACAAGTGCATGCAGTGTCCCAACTTTGATCTGTGCCAGGCCTGCGAGTCAGCACACAAGCACCCGGAGCATTTAATGGCGCGAATGCCCACTAACAACGGACCGAGACTTGTTGATGCCTGGATAACTGGTCCCGGTGGCAGCACGCGCATTCATCGCCGCACAAGCCGTCGCTGCCGTGATGATCCCACGATGATGAATCCATGGGCTTGGGCTATGCCCCCTGCCGATTCAATGTCGGCAAAGGCTGCTCCGACTGGCGCTACTGCTCCGAATTCGCCCAAAGAGAGCCGTCGCGAACGACGTCATGCTCGTCGTCATGGTGGCGTATTTTCGAACATCATGGAAATGATGATGAATTTGCCTGAGGGCAACGTAGTGCCTACTATGGGTGCCACGCCGGCTGCCGCCGCCACACCTCCCGAGGCCAACGATAAGAAGGAGACCGCATTACCAAGAGAGGAGCCAACTGTGGCAACCGCTATGAAAGAAGGGGCTCAAAATGCTGAGAAATCAACTGAGTCGAATGAGATCCCAATAAAGGCATCAGTTGAACCGGAAACAGCTAATGTAGAAGAACCTGTTGCTGCTCCTCGCAGCCCCAAGGAGCAACCCAAAGCGCAGGAAATTCCAGCTGGAAGCAGCACACCAACAACCCCTGTAATCAATCTGGAGAGCTTTGCGCAGATTGTTAATCCGGAATATATGCGTGCTGGCATTGAAATCTTGAACAACTTTAGCGAAATATTTGCTAGAATGATTGACCCCAGTGAGGCGGCTGCTTTTGGCTGTGCAGATACCTCGATGGCTTCCAGGGGCTCGACAGCTTCTGAAAAGTCCGAAGTTGGCGCAGAGACCGCACAGAACCCAAGCAAACAGGCAACACCACCAACATCTGCAGCCGAGTCTCCTGACCGTCGTGAATCCCAGACATTGGCCAGCGAACCAACTGTTCCAAAAGCAACTGCTGCTTCTGCCGCCCCAGAACCACAGGCTGTGCCTGATCCGAAGCCAACCACAAATGCAGAGGCAGAGGCACGGCGCAGTTCCGAGAGCTTAGACCAGGACTGGCAAATGATTGACAACAGTGCTTCGCCGATGGCTAACGTTTCTAACTCGGATGCATTGATTAACTTGACCTCGACTAACGCTGTCCCAACAAATGCTTCAGTTTCACCAGCTCGCGACTTTGTGCAACTGGGTGAAATGCTGCGCCAGCACGTAAACGAGGAGCAACAACGCGAACAGACAACTGCACACACTCAAACATCGCAGGTGAATACGGTGAGCACCTCGACTTCAACTACAGGTGTGTCCACCAACAGCACCTCGACATCGACAGCTGGTAATCCACCAGCACCCGAGGAGAAGCGCCAGGTGCCCATATACCATACCGGTGAGTAACCATTTCCGACTTGGAATGAAATCAAAATTAATTCAAATATCGATCTATGCCACAGATGAACGCATCAATGCCGCAGTACACGCCATGATGGCCATGGGTTTTAGTAATGAAGGAGCTTGGTTGACGCAGTTGCTGGAGTCGGTGGAGGGTAACATACCTGCCGCATTGGACATTATGCATACATCGCAAAGTGGTCGCAATTAATTCCGTTTGTGGCACATTAAACAAATTATCCATTTTAATATTCGACAAGTTATATTTGTTTCGGGCATAATTTCCGTCAGTTTTTGGTTTATTTCTGGTGAATTGTCTTCATTTATTATACCAAACGAAAGATACGCGAATATATAATCTATGTAATCTATATATGTGTATATGTGTATGTGGCAACTAATCAAAACTATGTTATTCAATGGTATCGTATATTAAACAAAATAAAAATTATAACTATATATATATATGTACTTAACAATGAAAATGGATTTGATGACAACATTCCCCAAACATAATTTTCAACATAAATCAATAACCGAGATTTTCCAAGATAATCGTTAAAATTTCGCGCACAAATCTTCTGAATTCGTAGTTAATTGTCGTAATAGTAACAATAAATGTGAACAGCTTAAAGAGCCGGATGTGGTGTGCTTTCCATTGGCGACGCGCAAAGCCAGTGTTGTAGCTGAACATCTGGGAAATCATTAGTGTTGCAAAACTGCTGAGAGCACAAAAGCGATGAATGATCTGCAGCGATTTATTCGTATAGAAATAGAGCGGCAGGCCGCTGAGAACGCAGCCGAGAAGTAGAACACATCCGACAATGCCTGCGAATGAGAGGAAGAGAGAGAGAGAGGAGAGAGAGAATGAATATGTATATCAGCTGCGAGTTCGCGTGTACCTACCAAAGAATCCGTGATTACTGCGGAAGTGCTTTACTGTGGCGCTTGGATCTTCCCGCTTGCGCTCGCGCTTTTGCCAAGTCTTGATGCCGACGCCGACGACACCGATGCCAAAGGCCAGCAGGCCGAGAGCGCTGTGCAGCAGATCCACATTGAATATGCCCAGCCACATTTCCAAGACTCTGCTGTGGCGCACAAGCAGAGCTTCGCCCAGTAGGAATACAAACTGACGGGCCAAATAAATACACAATTTTTCAGAGGTATGTAAATAAATATTACTTACAGCAACTGTGCAGTAGAAGGCATGTCCGGCGGTATGCACCATTTTTAGGGACACACATTTTTGCACCACGACCAACGTAATACCCGCGAGCAGTATGTGTGAGATGAAGGCACAGAAGCCAAAATAGAATCTCGCCGAGGGTGCGTCCAATTTGTTAAGCGTAAACGCTGCGTCGTCAATTGTAGCATTATTCTCGATCTGATCCACAACTGTTCCGACATAGTCCAGCAGATTTGTGCTCTCGCAAACGTCCCGCAGTCCCGACGCACTACAGCCTTGCATAACTTTACTTTCCATATTCCTATTATGTTCAATTTTTATTGTCTAACAACTTTTATCTATCTACGTGCGCTGCTCACGTTGTGTAGATTAGTTTTTTAGTGGGGATCTCCGGGCGACCGCGCGCTTTGAATGCCAGACAACGTTTGAAAGAACGCAGACAGCAAACAGCTGAGTGGCTCCGATCTCTGGTAAACTTTGTGTGCAAAAACTTTCAAATCAAATGGAGCATGACTCAGCTGAATGCCGTTGCTTGCACGTGCTTCACCTTGGCGCGTAAAAGGCGGCAGCAGCCACACTCCCAACCCCCGGGTGCTGCTGATTGGCTTGTGCAAAAGTACATACATAAATTGTATCATGTTATTTTCGGCGCATTGTAAACCGGTTTGTATAATAAGTCGTGCAATTTGCCGTCGGACTCCAGCTGACAAATGAGTAAGCACGAAAACCGAGCACAGTTATTTGGGTCCACTCTAAAACGGTTCGTATGATTCATATCAGTCAATATTATGAAACTCTAACCAAAAGCAAATGGGTGATAAACGAGAAACCGCAAACCATAAGCAAAAGGTACGCCAATTTAGCTGAGCTCTTTTACTGTTAACCGTTATAATTAAGCTTAACATTTTTGTTTAACATTATCAAAACAGAATGTTATTAGAACTGCATATGTATGTATGTACATAGTAGTAGGTGAATTTAAGAAATTCCGCAGCCATATTGAACTCTTTTTTTTTTTTAATATTTTATTTGTAAGTCAGAAAATGTAGACAGCGACTGTGCGTTTTAAATCATTTTAGTTGCTATTACTTGTTTCCCAAATTTTGTCCATATCGTCTATTGCGTCGCACTCGTTCTTTGTGTATACAATCGCACGGCAGCAGGTTCTGCTTTTATACTGGCTTTGTCAAATTACTCTCTGGCCACCTACCCGATTATTAAGTGATAGCACTAATCATACAATGAATAGATACGTCAAACAACCAAATAATCGAAACATGATAAGCCACTACGAAGAAACCCCAAGGGTGCTTGCGACCCAGAGAGTGTAAGACTTCTGAAAATGGCGTCTGCGTCTGCATCCCTATCAAAGTGCAAATTAAAGACAAGTGCGGTAACGGGTTCTTTTTCTTCATTAGTTTTTTCCGCTTTAAATGGAGATTCATCACGGAGGCTACGGCTAAAGTAATGTTCACCAGTTATCCAGGTATCAATATATTTCGGTCCGTTGTTAGTGGGCATTCGCACCATAAAGTGCTCCGGGTGCTTGTGTGCTGACTCGCAGGCCTGGCACAGATCAAAGTTGGGACAAACCATGCACTTGTAGCGGAAACCGATCAGTGGGAGGGCCTTGCATGAATCGCACGCTATTCCCTCATGAATAATGAAATTGGTAGGATCATCATCGATGAGACAGGCAGCAATATGCAAATGCATATTTTTCTCGCATTTAGCCAAGAAAATTCCATAGTCATTTTGATTGCTGACCTCAATTTCATCAGAATCCGAATCTAAACGAGAGAGAGATAAAAAGTTCAAATTTTTCCCTTTTTAAATTTAAATGGTGCTGTGTTAAGCAAAAGACTAACAGATTGTTTTATTTTCATGACATGTGATCGGCTCGGATGTAAGTGCTTTAATGAATTTTTTGTTTTTATACCCTCAACCCATTGAAAATGGGTAAAAAGAGTATAATGTTTTTGTACAAATGTATGTAACAGGTAGAAGGAAGCATCTCCGACCCCATAAAGTATATATATTCTTGACCAGCATCAATAGCCGAGTCGATCTAGCCATGTCCGTCTGTTTGTCGCAATTCTGTTTTTTTTGGCAATTTTGGAAAATAATATGAGCTAGAGTCACCAAACTTGACATGTAGCTTCTAGAATAGTATATATATATATCAAGTATCTTTCATTTTATACCTATCGCCTCCTCATTAAAACTCAATTATTGGTGTAGTAGTAGCAGTGTCTTGAGTAGAGGCGGCGGCAACTGGTGCGGTTAGTTGCGAGTTCGAACCCTGCCAAGGGAACAATATTTTTTTTTTTTTCATTTTTCTTTCTTACTTCTACAGCAAACGTGCGCGTAGCGCGAGCTGCATTTGGTGTTGGAAGAAGAGAATTCAGGGTATCCCCTAGTCGGGAGCTCCCGACTAGAACCTCTTACTTGTTTTATAATATATCGAAATTAAGAGAGAGCTAAAGACATTAACATTCACAAATATTTAAATCAATTTTAAACTTCAAATTTAATTTTTGTGAAATATATATAATATATAATTCCCTTTTTTGTGCATTCAAGCAAAGTAAAAATGCAATCAGACGTGTTTGGTGAAGAAATTTTTTGTGGGCTAATTTGTTTTTTAATCAAATTACATTTAATGGTAATTTGAGCGTACTAAGATAAAAGGTCATCCAAAAATATTTTATATTCATTCAGTTATTTATATTTTTTCCAATTTTTTTGTACCCTAAAAATTGAATTACCTATTCTTTTTGTTAACAACATAGCTGTTTTACATAATTGTTTTTAGTTCCTGTTCTTGTCATACATTTAATTTACATTACTTTCAAGATAAGAGTGCATATTTATTTTTTCCTTAATAACAATGCTTGTGTAAATATTCATTATATATGTGATTTAAAAAAGTAAACATTAATATTTATTTTTGCATACGATCAATTTCGTACACGGTTGTTAACAAGTTTTTTTTGAAACCAATCTACAGTGTAAAAACAGAATTAGGAGGCACCAATATGCATACATACATACATATGTGTGAATGTGTGTGCTTGCACTGGTAAAAATTTGTATAGGTACACACAAAACTCAAATGGGTCGCAACATGGACTTGTGAAATGCATGTACATATGTATGTATATGAATTGCATGTAGGTATGTTCAATGTACATATATGGCTTCTGATACAGATGTACACACATACATATGTATGTATATACTATACAGCTAACACATGGGCTTATACAAGCACACAATGCATTTAATTTATTTCGCATTTATATGTACATATGTATGTTAACATTTACCAATCCAATATGTCCTGAAATTGCAAACAGGCAGTTCGCGCTCCTGGAACAGGTACCTCTTAATGTCAAGACGCAAATCATCCAATTTATTGGATGGCATTCGCAAAAATGCATTCAGCTTCTTCGTTGCACTATCAGATACATGGTAGTAGGTGATTTTAAGCATTTCCTCAGCCATATTGAACTCACTTTTTGAAATATTTTATTTGTAAGTTTGAAAATGTGACAGCAACTGTGACTTTTAAATCATTTTACTTGCTATTAATTGTTTTGCAATTTTTGTCTCTGTAGTCTATTGCGTCGCACTCGTTCCTTGCAAATACCATCGCACGGCATCAGGTTCTGCTTTTATATCGGCTATGTCAAAGCACTCGCTGGGTGATATCACTAATCACACATTGTATAGATACGATACTCGAAACACGATAAGCCACTACCAGGAAAAACCAAGGGTGCTTGCGGCCATTTTGTTATGCCCAGAGAGAGTAAGACTGTTGAGAGTGGCAGCCGAACGCCGGCCTCGAAAGCCGGAGATCAGTATGAAGCCGCATCTCGTTCGGCGCTCAACGTCGCTGCGGCTGATGCCTTTTCATAATATATGTGTGTTAGTTTTCATTCCTTACATCCCAAAAACATATTTTCTTCAATGGGTGCGTAAATTTGGGCATGCCTGCGGTAGGCTTGCGGCTGCAAAAGGCACAAATGTGTGAACAGTCAGTGAAAACAGGTGAAACGTACTTGTCCGTCGTTTGCACTTTGAAATGGAAAAATGCAAGTGATCTTTTTATGAATTTATTGAGATTGTAAAAATGTTGGGTTAAAGGGTTTTATTACAGCCAGTTAACGGTCAGAATGGCTATCATGCGTCTGCATCCTTATCAATGTGCAAATTAGCGACAAGTGCGGAAACGGGTTCTTCTTCCTTATTAGTTGTTTCCGGTTCAATTGAAGATTCATCACGGAGACGACAGCTTGAGCCAGGCTCTGTTGCTATCCAGGCATCAATAATTTTTAGTCGTTCGATAGTGGGTATGCGCACCATAAAGTGATCCGGGTGCTTGTGTGCTGACTCGCAGGCCTGGCACAGGTCATAGTTGGGACACTGACCGCACTTGTAGCGAAAACCGACCAGTGGGACGACCTTGCACGAATCGCACTCTATTCCCTTATGAATAATGAAATTTGTGGGATCATCATAGATGCCACAGGCAGCCATATGCAAATGCATATTCTTCTCGCATTTGGCCAAGAAAATTCCATAGTCATTTTGATTGATGACCTCAATTTCATCAGAATCCGAATCTAAACGAGAGAGATAAAAAGTTCAAATATTTCCCTTTTTATATTTTAATAGTGTTGTGTTAAGCAAAAGACTAACAGATTGTTTTATTTTCATGACATGTGATCGGCTCGAAAGGGAGCTTAAGAAATCAAATTTATTATGCATGATTTCGTTAACATTCACAAATATTTAAATCAATTTCAATGCAGCCTACCTCAATTCACAGCCCTGTAACCAGGGTATCTCCAAGATGAGCACTCCCGACTAGCTGACTCTGATTATTAGTTTTGCTATCGAATCAATTGATACTGATATCATTATACACTTAATTCTAAATAAATAACACTAACATTAAATAATGCATGCTTGTTCGTAAGAAATCCTAGTTTTTCACTAATTTTAAAAGATTTTAGGGATAAGGAACCAATTACCTATTTTTGCATAGAATCAATATCTTTTTTTAACGCGGTTTTTTCTGAAACCAATCTACCGTTAATCACGCTGGGCGGAAGGAGTCACCGATATGCATACATACATACATATGTGTGAATGTGTGTGCGTGCGCTGGTAATAAACAACATGGGCATGTGAAATGCATGTACATACATATGTGAATTGCATGTATGTATGTATGTATGTATATGGCTTTTGATACATTTATTAGTATGCATGTTAATATTTACCAATCCAATATGTCCTGAAATTGCAAGCAGGCAGTTCGCGCTCCTGGAACAGGTACCTCTCAATGTCACGACGCAAATCATCCAAATTATTTGATGGCATTTGCAAAAATGCATTCAGCTTCTTGAATGCACCAGCAGATGCATAGTGGTAGGTGATTTTTAGCAATCCGTCAGCCATATTGAAAGCTTTTTTTTTTTAATATTTTATTTGTGAGTTGAAAAATGTATTTTTGTCTATGTCGTCTATTGCGTCGCACTCGTTCCTTGCAAATACCATCGCACGGCATCAGGTTCTGCTTTTATACCGGCTTTATCAAATCACTCTGTGTCCCCCTATCGAAGCATGATAAGCCACTACCAGGAAACCCCAAGGGTGCTTAAGACCATTTTGTTATGCCCAGAGAGAGTAAAACTTCTGAGAGTGGCAGCCGAACGCCGGCCTCGAAAGCCGAACGATCAGTATGAGGCCGCATCTCGCTCGGAGCACAACGTCCATGCGGCTGATGCTTTTTCATAATACATATTTGTAATATATGTGTGTACGAATGTGCAGAGTGTGTCTCGCACTCGCTCTCACTCATTGCTCATCTCATTCTCCCTGCATAGCTCCTCGCGGCGTTTGTCGCGAGCCAGAGATTGCCCCGTTTCTAAGGAATCGATCAAGTATCTTTCATTTTATGTCTCTCGCCAGTCACCACACCCTTCAACATTCCCGTTGATATAAGATATTTTTGTAGATCAATCGGTGCTACCCACTAATTTAAACCACAATTTTAATGCCATTGAGAGGCATAATAAGGGGTTTAGGGTATTCCCAAGTCGGCCACTCCCGACTAGCGCCCGTTTACTTGTTGTACGTGGTAATGTGAAATAGATAAAACTGTATGACGTCATTTCACAAGAAAAGTCCCCACACGAAGCAGCACAACACAACAAGCCAAAAGAGAAAAGCGAGAATCGTTCAGTTAACAGCTGATTGTTTTACGTGGCAATGTGAAATAGATAAAACTGTATGACGTCACTTCAGAAAAAAGTCCCCACACGAAGCAGCGCAACACAACAAGCACTAAGAGAGAAGCGAAAATCGTTCAGTTAACAGCTGATTGTCCGCCAGTTCCGTTGGCACTCCCGTTCGAAACGTCCATTAGTGTGCTAAGTGTTTCATAAATAAAACAAGTTCTCTTTTGACTTGCGAAAATAAACGCCCAATAAGTCAACAAAGATATTTTGTAAATCGTAAAAAAATATTTGTAACAGCAACAGCAAACATTTTGCATTTCTCAGATAAGGAATCCCCCAGTAACCAGAAGTACAGCATTCATTATTACTATTTGTGTTCAGTGTACATATATTTAAATATTTTACATATAAACCGTTTTTGTGTACATGTGTCATAGAGTTAGTCTAGTGAAACGGGAAAAACCCCGTGAATAGGTTTGTGCATGCGATTAAAACTAAATCTTTAATGAACGCTAAACATATGACAATTAAAGTGTTAATTACAAAGCAGAAATTAAATCTATCAACAAAAACAACCGCATCGAATTTAAGAATTTAATTAACCATTTGCATGATATTGCATACAATAAACAAAATGAATAATATTTTTGTTATTACTGCTGAGCCGTGGGTATGAATCTATTACAGATTAGTTTTCTAAATAACAGTGTATATATAGAATATCCACGGCACGCTGAAAATTATATATTCATGTAGAATTATGGCTTACGGGTTTTCAGATATGTGAGCTTTTCCTATAAAAAGCTATACGATAAAGTCAGTTGTTCATAAGGCATGGAAAAACTCGTAATCGCAACAGTTAAGATATCTTGGCTATCAAAAAAAAAAAAACCATCGAAAAACTAAATTCCTGTAGGGTCATTTTAATAGCAGCTATATAATATGTATATAGTGCCGATCCGGCCCGTTGCAAAGTTTTATATTTGAAAGGTTAATTTTTAACGAAACTGGCTATATTGACTAATCTGTTGATCAGGAATATACACACTTAAATACTTTAGATACGATTTTTACTTTTATTTCATGATAAAAGGAATAAAAAGAAAAAAACAAAAAGATAAGTCTCACATTGTCAGTTCTTTTGTTTACAAATACTTGTGAAATTGTTTAGCTCTGCTGGCAGTTCTTAAAACTCCTAACTGATTTAAATTATTTAAATAATTGCTATAAATATATTTAAAAAAATAGCTTTGCTAAAAGGTAATAAATTATCCAGATATTTAAATACTTGTACTATACAAAAGTTAGTTTGAATTTTACTTAAAGATTATTTTTTTGTTGCAGTCTACCATTTTATTATTAAATTCTATATACATATTTATTATTATATTTATTTCGTATTCCTCCGGCCAACAGTATTTTTATTTATTTTTATTTTATTTATTTTTTTTTAATTTCGTTTGTCCATTAATCTATTAGACTTTACCTATAGTTGACATTCGTATATGTTATGCATACACATACATATGCATAGTATGTATATATGTACATATGTCTCTGTGTATAGTCTTCTTGTTAATTATAATTATCAGTGAGCATTTTATATTATTTTTTTAATGTTGTTGTACAGCTTACGCTGCGGTCAGCGTCGACGCCGACGCTAGGCCAGATTTTCGATGCCGCACACTAACACACTCACACACATGCATACATACATACATACATACATACATACATACATAGCTATGGGCATACATATAACAAATCACGTATATCGCCGGCTCAACCAGTCGCAGCTAAGCTTTGAGCCTGGTCGGTTGTGGCATCGCTTGGCAGCCCAACTTGAATTTATTTTAAATTTATTGTAACCAAAGTTTATATAAGTTTTTTCGTTTTATTTTTGTTTCACTTAAACTAACAAAATGCGTCGCGCAGACGCTTTTGCTGTCATCGCCTGCGTGGCTCTCGTGCTCCTACAAATGGCGGAACCAGTCAAGAGCGAGGGGGAGGGGTAAGTCCTGTTAACTACATATACATACATACATACATATACAATTATTGGGCTCAAGGGAAAACTAGATTATTGTGATTTTAGGCAAATTGGTTTTTTACATTTACATATGTATGTTTATTATTCAGTGCAATTGCAATGGACATCATGCGTGAATAATTGTTTTATATTATGCTTTGTGTTCTTCTATAACATATATTCAGCTATATACATATATGGACAACAGTTCAAACAGTTAACTTAATTATTAGCACTTTGTGACTAATGCTAAGCATATTTATACTGTTCATTGGCAGTTGATTTTTCAATTAACATTGTTTCTTAAAAAATATATTGTGTTCAGTCGTAAAAAGTTGCCTCATTGTCATTCGAAAAGTTTTTTAAGTACTTTTGCATGTTTATCAATATGTAAGATGACTTTTGAGTATACACCGAAAACCAGTTTATTATTTGTTTATATTTCTAGTTGATCTTGGCTGATTAATACGTTTTTCATTGCCAATGCTAATTAGTTACACAGCTAATAAAGTGCTACGCGTTGTATAAGTATTAATTGACAGTGTTAACAAACGTAAAAACATATTTGTTTCTTATAAAGAAGCTTCTATCGCCTTGTACTCATAAATCGAAAATTTCTCCCTGCATGTTTACTTTTTCTTACATAACCGGCGCTCAGAGCCGGTTTCTACGGATCAGGTTCTGGGAATATTTACCATTAGGCTTGTGCGAATTCGTATTTAAATATAAAAGCTTAAAGTCTTTCTTGGAAACAAGAGGTTAACGCAAAATAAACAAAAATAAAAATAAACACAAATTTAAAAATTATGTATGTAGATTAAACTGAATTCATAAATTTTGTAATCTAAAATGCGATTGGGCAAGCATAACTAAAATAAACAAAATCAATTAAAAAACCCAAGCTAATGGTGGACCCAGTATTTTGACATTAAGAAATTGCTGTTGACCTATTCTGATTATAATTAATAAAAATAATCTTGTTTGGCTCAGGCAATACACGATCGTTGGACCGGGAACCATACACTCGCATCGGGATTACAATGTGGCTGTCGCAGTGCATCACACCAAGGAGCCGGTTACCTTGAAGATTGGTATTACCGGACCCTCGCACAACGAGACCCAAACGGTGGAGCTTACCAAACCGGATGAGTTCAAGCAGCTCACCTTCAAGCTGCCTCCTCTGAAATCGGGCGATTATAACCTAACCGCAGAGGGCGTAGCCGGGCTGGACTTCAAGAACTCCACGCAGCTCAGCTGGGTGGAATTTAAGCCCTACATAAAGCTGCAAACCGATAAGGGCAAGTACAAGCCCGGCGATACCATCAACTACCGTGTCATCTTCCTGGACGAGAATCTAAAGCCGAGTGAGGCTGACGATGATGTCGTCGCATGGTTCGAGGACTCCAAACGGAATCGCATCAAAGAACTTAAGCACATCAAGACCCGTACTGGAGTATACACGGGGAAATTCGAGTTATCGGAGTTTGCCACGCTGGGCTCATGGACGCTGTCGGTGCAGCACGGCGGAGCCTACGCGAACGAGCGCGTCTACTTCGAAGTGGAGAAGTATGTGCTTCCCAAGTACACCGTCAAAATGGACGCGACCCAGCATGTGTCCGTCAAGGATGGCGACATGCAGGTGGTGGTCAAAGCCAAGTGAGTAGCTATTCGTCTATTGTATCCTCGAAGGAATACAATTCTCTTCTCTTTCCCATCCCAGTTACACCTACGGCAAGCCGGTCAATGGCAAAGTCCTGCTCAATGTGCACACGGACGAGTCGAGTTCGTGGAGCAACGTCGATGGCAAGTCCGAGCGCAAGGATACGCCCGGGCACGCTCTGATCCGGACCGCTGACATGGTCAACGGCAAGGCGAAATTCGATATAAATGTTAAGGAGTTTGCCAGCTACTTGCCGTACAAGACCTCGTCGTGGTATGCACAGATCTTGGCCACCGTGGAGGAGGACTTCACCGGCGTGCAGCTCAACGAAACGGGCGGCGTTCAGCTCTATCCGTATCGCTACGAAATGTCCTGCACGGACTACAGCTCCTGCTTCTCGTTTGTGGCGGACAAAGAGCACGAGATCATCTTCAAGATTACGCTCGTCGATGGCACGCTGCTAAAGGACACCAAGACGCCAGTCAAGGTAAGCAAGCATATATTTCAAATGACCTAAAATGACCTCAACTAATCAACTAATCCCAGGCCAAGTTCACGGAGGGCATCCGCCATACCAGATACGGCG